ATACAATATTAATTATTAGAGCAAATTATATAAAAAAAACAATTAGAAGAAATTAAAAGAGAAAAAAAGGATATATATATATATATATATATATATATATATATATATAGTGGCGAGTCCAGGAATTCGGTACAGGGGGCTTCAATTTTCGGGGGTTTGGGGGCAGCACTCCCGAGATTTTTTTAGGATTTTTTTGAAAACTGGAAAAGGAGAAACGAAAAAAAGAAAGAAAACAAAAAAAATTAGAGTTTTTTTTGTATTAATTTGGAATTGGGACTTTTTTGTATTAATTTGAATTTTGGATATGCTAATTAATAAAATATGGGGCTTCTTTTGCATTAATTGAAATTTTGGATGAGCTAGTTAATAAAATTTGGGTGGGCTAAATAGAAATATGGTATAATATAAGGGGCAAATTAAAAAAATGAGTGTGGGCTTGAGTCCAAAATTACCCCAATTCATTGAAACCCAATTTAACTCCAATTTCATGATTTACACCCCAATTTAGCCCAATTTCATCAATTAACCAATTTTAACGCTAATTTCAATTTTGACCCGCCACCACCGGAGACCGCCGGTCGCCGCCGTTGACCGGCGTTGACCGTCGGTCTCCAACGTTGACTTTTTTTTTTTTTTTTTTGAATTTTTTTTCCTGAAATTTTTTTCCGGCCGGTGAACTGCTGTTGACCGTCGGGTCTCCGGCGTTGATTTTTTTTTTTTTTTTTTTTTTTTTTTTTTTTAAAATTTTGGTTTTTCCTAAAAAAAATATTTTAATTAATATTACTGGTATGGCTGCCAACTGTTAATTGACTCTTTTTTTTTTTTTTTTTAATTTTTTTTTTCAAAAATATTTTAATTAATATTACTGTATTTGTAGCTAAATTACTGTCTCCAGCAGTTATTGTAATTAATGCACGGTTAGTGTATTTTTAGATAATATCTTTATATATAAAAGAAAGGTTTTTGCCCGAAACCCTAATCCTATTTTTGTGAAATATTTGTAACTCTAAGGGCTTTTCCGTCTGTTCATGTTGATTATTAGTTTTCGGTTTCCTGTCGCACAATATTTTGGAGGTTTTCTGCCACGATCTAAAACTTCTCCATGATTTTGGAGGTTTTCTGCCACGATCTGAAAAACTTCTGATATCCATTGAACAATATTAACTCACCCTTTTCAACTTCTCCATCCCAATCGCAACCTTGGAAAACGAGAATTCTCCCGTTTTTTCCCCTGCCTCTCCATCATCTGTGTTCTAATCCTTTCTCTCTCATATCCCCATTGACTTTCTTTCTCCCCCAAAAAATTCAACTTCCCTCTCAGATTTTTTCATCACCCACAAATGAACACCCTTTTCTTGAAGAAAAAAAAAATGTACTTCCGTTCTAATCATATTTTTCTCTTCCTCCAATTCATCTTCTATAGCATGTGAAATCAGAATCGGCAGTAACATGACCTGAGCCTTAACCCTTTTCAATTTATTGTTATGACTGAAATCTAATGGTGTTTTTTGTGCAGGATGATTCGGTCGTCAGCAAACAGAGGAAAGACTCCGAATATGAAGAACATAATTTCATTTGTGGAAGGCAAGTGTTCAATTTATTGAATTCTACTGATTTCCCTTTCATTTTTTCTTTAATTTTATCTTCTTTCATAAAAATAGTTTTGCAGAGACATTATGACAAATAAGAAGCCTCCATTTTTATTTTTTTTCTCTGAAAATCAAACAATCTCTATTTGTTTTTCCTTCATAATCTTTATTAAATTCATTTTTGGTGATCACCCATGAGGTATGGGACTGTTGGGGTGAAGTTTTGCATGGATCCTAACAATCTCTACAACCTGCACTCATGCCCTCGGGTTGTTTTTTACTTTTATTTTATTTTTTGGACTGTTTTGCCTATTATTTCCACAATGTATTTTTATTGTTATATATTTTAATGAGTACCTGGGATTCAGAACATTATTTGAGATGGGATCAATAATTTTTGTTTTTTCAGTTTTTAGTAAATTTGGGATTTGTTTCAATATCTCAACATGGAATTGGTTGATTTATTATAAGGGAAAAAAAGTATCCTCATATACTTATGGATATCATTTGCTATTAGTAATATTATTTGCTACATCTGTTGGATTGAGCCACGATCGAGCCGTCGAAGAAGAAGATCGTGGCTCACTCTTTACCGCCACTTTCTTCATATCATCCCACCCTGTTCTCACGGTGACTCTATATCTTCTCCACCGAGCAATTCCACAAACTATCACCTGTAATTCTTCCAATTAATTATCTCTCCTCTTTTTCTATATGTTGCATTTTTGTTAATTTATAAGAATATAATTAGCAAAAGTAATAAGTGGGTTTCTCAGTTTTAGTGATTTTTTCTTTTCTTTTTTTTGTTTGTTCGTGTGTGTTTGTGGTTTTTGCCGGGGTAGTGGCGAATAAAACTATTGACTACAAAAAATGGCATAATCTTGAAAGATTACATATGCAAAGAACAATCTCGGCGAAGGTATATTTCTAATCTTCTTCTTTCTTCGATTCAGAGTAAACAGTTATACAGTAGTTGTTCCTATTGTTGTTTACACCATAGCAATATTAGGCTCCACGCGATCATAATTCATAACCCTCTCTTTGTCAATTGGATTCTTTAAAGTTGAGTATTTGTGATTTTATTTTGTTTATGTTCAAGTTTTGCCGAAAAAAATTGTACTCCTTTGGTTTTGATTGACTTGCAGCGGTGTTCGTTGGTTGCACAGGCGCCGATATTTTCTTGGTCGGAGGTAAAAGTTCCTCTTTAGATTACCTTTATGTTCTCTCTATAATAAAATGCATGTTTTTTTTTTCAGCGTATCCTTTGTCGGGGGCTCTATATCTGTCGAATGCTTTTGTAGGCTCAAGTGGTATCTCATCATCATTCGGTAAATTGATAAGTAAATAAATCTAGCTGTCTTATCTTTTGTGGAATAATAGAATTGTGCCTTTTCATGTTTTGTGGTCGCAACCTGCATGCTTGATGGTTAAAAAAACAGTAAAATGATTGTGGAGTGAAAGAGGAGCACATAAGAATACTTAGCAAAGAAAAACTTATAAAATTCATCTTATAATCTTTAAGTGACATGCATTGAATAAGTGAGAGTTATTGCCCATATTATTTGTTCATGAAAAAGTCTAAAAATGACTAACTTCTAGAAGAGAAATGAAATGAGTATAGCCAAATAAATATTGTACATGAATTAGTTTGAACTATCAGCTTGAATAGTTTGAATTCGATTGTTGCCCCTTTTTTCCTATTTCTCACGGTTCTTCTACCACCCGTTTGAATAGATTGAATTCTTTTAGAAGTTTGTTTCTTCTTTGTTTTGAGTTTTTCTACCCCCCGGAATATTGCAGATAAATCCGAACTTCTTGAAGAGGCAAAAAAACACAACATGCTCAAAACACTAACTTGGATATTAATGTTACTGCATTTTAGAAAAAAATGTCGGCGTTTATTGTGTGATTCAAAAACTGAGCTAATAAGGGTTCATAGGAAACTGTGGACTCCTTTTAATTGTTTGTAGTCGTGGAGTTCATAATGTGATTCAGAAACTGAGGTAATATGAGCTTATAGGAAAACGTCTGACTACTTTTAATTGTTTGAAGCCGTAGTTGATGATTTCTTTGTTTTTTTCTCCTTCTTTTTTGTCTCTTTTAATGTGTTGTGGTGTTGGTTCTTAGTTGAAAGGCAGAGGGAATTAAGGCTTTGAATTTTTGTTCAATTGACCTTTTGATTTCACAAATATTGTTAATGGTTGGATCGTTGAACCCTTTCTTTGTTATTGGCTTCTTCACTATCCAAGTTTTGCAATCAACTCATCCTCAAAGAATAAGTGCTATATTGGAATTGTGGTGATATTGGAGTTGAGGATGAGTTGATTTTTGTTTAATGTGGGAGGAAAGAATTAACTCAGACATATTGCCTTCCCGATTCTATGTTACGAGAATTGGAGGGTGCATTAATATATAAATGGAATTGAAGCCATTGTGGCACATGTTGAGAAATCCTATGGGCATTTTGGTTGAATGTTGGTTACCCCAAGGTATTTTATTCATTTACCTTTAAATAATCTAAATAGTGAGTAATTTTTTGAATGTTTTTTTTTTCTAAGGTCGGGACAGTAAGAAATTATTATCTAAGCAAAATTATTAATTTATCGAGTTTCTATTGTATCTGACAAAAAATATATTTTATACTTTTCACTTTTTATTCTTTTATTTAAGTAGACGCCCCGCGGAGCAAAAAAATATATTTTATACTTTTCAATTTTTATTCTTTTATTTAAGTGGATGCCCCGTGCAGCGCACAGGGAAAAATACTAGTTATTTGCTAATATTGTACATATTAAAAATAAAAGAATAATAAAAAAGGGTAATGACAAATAGGCCCATAACAAGGGCACTTAATTAAAAGAGAGATATCCAACTTTTTTGTCTTTCAAATAAATCCAACCCATTCAAACTTATTTGCAAATAAGGAAAATCCTTTTATATATACCAAAATTACCCCCAATTCATTGAAACCCAATTTAACTCCAATTTCATGATTTACACCCCAATTTAGCCCAATTTCATCAATTAACCAATTTTAACCCTAACTTCAATTTTGACCCACCGGAGACCGCCGGTCGCCGCCGTTGACCGGCGTTGACCTTTTTTTTTTTTTTTTTTTATAATTTTTTTTTTCTTTAAAAAAATATTTTAATTAATATTACTGCCTTGACTGCTAAATTACTGTCTCCGGCAGTTATTTAACTGTCGGAGACAGTAATTTAACTATTAATTGACTCTTTTTTATTTTTTTTCTTCAAAAATATTTTAATTAATATTATTGTATTCGTTGCTAAATTACTGTCTCCAGCAGTTATTTAACTGTCGGAAACAATAATTTAACTGTTAATTGACTTTTTTAATCTTAAAAAAGTTGTATATGTTTGCTCGTGAATTCTCTCTTCTGATGGAAGATAGGAAATAAAGATGTAATATATATACCAGTTTTACCTGCTGGACGGAAGCGGTTTTTCCTGTTGGGGTAAGCGATTATCGAAACAATATGTGAAGTGCTCAATGTTAGATGGAATTAAAAAAACAAAAAAAAAAAAAAACAGAAGAAAATTAAAACTCCTAATCTAATTTTTAGTACACTAATTAAAACACGAATAAATGATTATAAAATTTAAGAAACACAAAGAAAAGAAGAACATGAACCCGAAGAGTTGATTCCCCACCAAAAGAAGGGTCTTTTCGTTCTTCACATGATACTTCCAATGGCCATGGGCACTGCACACTTAGACATGTATGTTTGCACATATTTTTTGGCATCAGTCATTACATCCATTTAAAGACCAAAAATAAAAAACCCCAGAAATCTATGTAGATATAAAAAACTTACCATGTAATATGTGTTGATTAATTGATCTCATTAAGATCATCTGCGAAAACCCAAAAGGCGCAAAAATCACCCAGCGGCGGGCCATCCTGCAGAACCGGCGCATATCTTTCACGCTTGCCATCCCTGACTTGTTCCTTCTTTTTACCTATGAAAAAAGTCGAGATATAACCAATAATATTCCAACACAAATATACCAACAGAAAAAAACAAAAATTCGCGGAAGCAAAGAATAACACAACCTCAAAAAGAAGACATGCAACAGATTAATGCTGGGGAAAGAAAGGGCGGCGGAGTTGTGCAGGCAAAAGATAAATCTTTTGCTGGAAAAAAATGGCGGTGAAAAAGAATTGGCATAGAGATAAGTTGAGAAGTGGGAGAGATATAATAGCCGTAGAGAAGAAATAAGATTAGAAAATGGGACGTGGGGTTCAGAACGGTTAGGGTTACCCCAAAAAGTACCAGACGTTACTTCTTTTATATATACTAGTACTACCCCGTGCGATGCACGGTAAATGCATATTTCTAATTTATTTTTTAGAGAAATATACACATATTTAATTGACGAAAATTTTCTTTAATTTATAGCTTAATCAATCATATATATATATATATATATATATATATATATATATATATATATATATATATATATATATATATATATATATATATTAAATGTGACTTTAATCCAAGAAAAAGAAGAAAAAAAAAAGTATTTTTTAGAATTAATTTTTAAAGTGTTTGAACCAGCGGCGGAACATATAGGGGGAAGCCTGTTGCCCCCCAAGATTTAAAAAAAAAAATTTAGGTATTTTGGCATTGTAGTTTTCGAATATTACTTTTGGCCCTCTAAAGTTTTAGTAAATATGTGTCTTAACCCTCAATTTTTTTTGTTTTTTTCTCCACAATCTTATATAAATTATACTTGTATATATCATATTTAATATAAAAATATTTAATAAAATGGTTAAAATTTATATTATTTTATATAATATTTATGAATATTTACTTATTTTTGATTTTTTTTATCAATGTCTCTTAAAAATAATATGAGACGATGCCATTAATCTCCAAAATATTTAAGTGCAATACATTAAGATTTTTTGCCATGCATAAAATATGATAAAACTATAATATATATGTTATTTTAATTAAAAATTATCAATATAAACTTATTTTTGCTATGTCTTGTGAACCTAAATTTTAGTTAGCTTCCCCTACATTTTGATCCCGGTTCCGCCCCTGGTTTGAACAATGATTTTATAAATTATTTTTTATTCATTATAAGACCTTAAATAAAATGGGTGGCTAGAACAAGTATCAAAATTTTCTTACTTTAATACCACCAAAAAAATAAATAGATAATAAATAGTTAATGACATAAAAAAACCCTAATGAAAATCAAAACCAAATATACATTACAAATCTCATTTTTCTTTCAATACCAAACACACAAATCCCCTCAAAATTCATCTCCCTCTTTACAAACCCCTCTCCTCGTTCTTCTTCCTACCAACAAACCCTTCTAAAAAATCTCAAAACTAAAGAAATCAAAACCTTACACAACTTACAAAATGGAGTCAAATGACAATAAAATGATGGTTTACGAGCAAGGAGAGCCCATTAAAGTATGTATCCATGTCTTTTTCGAGATTAAAAGTCGATTTTGAAGATTGTTTTTTTTAAACCCGCCATAAATTTTCGACACATACATGTCGAATTTTTGGTCAATTTTCGACACCAACTTGTCGAAAATTGTATTAAAAAAAATAAAATTTGACACTTACATGTAGAAATTTCTCAAATTTTCGACATGTAAGTGTCGAATTTGGTTTTTTTTTTTTTTTTATAATACAATTTTCGACAAGTTGGTGTCAAAAATTGACTAAAATTCGACATGTATGTGTCGAAAACTGTAGGCGAATTTCAAAAAAAAATTCTTCAAAATCGACTTTGAATCTCAAAAAAGACATGAATACATACTTTAATGGGTTCTCCTTCCATGTAAACCACCATTTTATTGTCTTGTTACTCCATTTTACAAGTTTTGTGAGGTTTTGATTTTTTTGAATTTTGAGATTTTTTGGAGGGTTTGTAAGAAGATGAAAAAGAAGAAGAAGAGAGGGTTGGGTTTTTTTAATTTTTGGTATTGAAATGAGAAAAAAAAAAAAATTGTGTATAAATTGTATTTTGTTTGATGAGGGATATTTTAGTACTTTCCTATTAAAAAAATTGTGGTATTAATCTAAGAAAAAACTTTAAAAACTTCTATAAAATATGATATAAACTTGGTAGTATTGAAGTAAGAAAATTTTGGTATTTGTTTGGTATTTGTTCTAGTCACCCCTAATTAAAAAGGCATTATTTGCTTTTCAACAAATTCTATAATTTTTTTTTTTTAACAACATACAAACCCAAAGAGGTCAACCAATAAATATAAATAAAATTTAAAAAGGAAAATTTATATTAAAGAATCCCATCTTTGGGCACACAAAGAATGTTACATATGCAACAACACAGTCACCTACAATCACGCACTACGAACATACTTTGGACAATTCCACACAAACAAAGTATATCATCAAATTCAATAGTCCCAAAACAAAAAGTTTTCCTAAATCGAAGTAAAAATAACACGATTTCTATCAGGAAGTTCTTCCAACAATTGTAAATATTTCACCAAACTATAATTATACCTTAGCTTAAAATGCGAGAAACATCGCTGTAAGAAACGCTATTACCAGAACAACACAGAAATGCGAGTCTACTTTCAGACTCGAAGCTAACGAAGTTTTCTGCGGCCTGCAAAGTAACATAAGAATGCATATATTAGTATCAACAAGTTAAATGAGATTAGTGTGTACTTATGTAATAATTAGTGCCGTAATATACTTTTGCATGTGGCTGAGGGCACCGCAGTAGAGAACATTATCGGGCACAGGCAACTCCGTTTTGTTTCCAGAATCTTCCGGATTAATAATTCTCATGTACGTTTCCTGTCCAAGATACCACCTATCAAGATTTTCTGTCCTAAGATTCCACGCACCCACATTGTCGAGAGACACAAACACAGCTGTCCATCCTCCCGGAAAAACCTGTCCATGCATACATACATACATACATGTAATAAAATTATAAAATAAATGGGTCTTGATTAACACTAAATATTAACAAACACCAATAAACGAGCTTTTATTGCATACCTGAACAGTGGAACGAGATATTGCGTCCCACCTATTGTATGATCCTCTGTTTTTCTCCGTCCATTCACCATAGCCCATCCTGCACAAAGTTAATCAAAAAATTAATTAAACTCGATAAAGAATTCATTTTTAAGTATATATGAAAAGTATATATGCATTATATACCCGACTACGAAGAAAGAATATCCATCAAGGTGAAACGTTTGCACAATAGTATCATTGTTCTGCAATATAATTTCGATGAACCCTTTGTAAGTAGCATTGATGACGGATCTATCCACAACGGCAGCCCTGTCCGAGGGCGTATCTGGAAAATCGAGCTTATAATCGCCCTTCACTTTGTACACATCAGCAAGGCGTATGGGAGTATCGGGATTGACAAAGGATATTCCGTTGTACGTAGCTCTTAATTTACCGTCAATAGTCAAAGGCGGACCACTCTTGAGCATATACACGTCGGTCACATTTATCGAACCGTAGTGGAACGAGCCCTGTGGGTTAGGGCGGGCCCCACTAGCACTCACGTTCTGCCTGAACCATATACAAAAACACAAAGAATAAAATTAGATAGTAAGAAACAAAAAAGAAAATCTTATTACAAATACAACTAGAATAAACAGACCTAATGGACATAGCCTGGTTGAGCGAATAAGACCGGTCGTAAATATCATTCGGTGGGTCAGGGAGCGGGCCTGTGGGGCCCGCTTTCGAGTTGGAGTAATGTAAAACAGCAACGCCTGTGACCTTTTGCCAGAGAGATTCATTCACAAACCTAGCACTCGCTACTATGTAATAATCAGTGCTTGCGTTTTGATCCATTGTGACTAGAAACGAGTACGACTGGCCCACGTGTATATCCATGCTCGTGTAGTTCTGCTGCGACGTGTAGTAGCCTTCTGTCTCTGCCAATAGCAAATTGTGGCCCTGTATTCGGAAATTCAAACTAGTCGATACTCCTACATTGTGCACACGAATTCTGTACGTTTTACCTGCAATTTCAAAAAAACAAAAAAAAAAAAAACAAGAAACGTTAATTATTGAAAATGAATCGAAGTAATCGAATTTTGTGAAAATTTAAAAACTTACCCGGATCAACATTTATAGTTTCGTGCTCGATTCCATCGGGTACGAGAGAGTTGTTATATCTGTAGGGTCCTTTTCCGTTAATAAGAACTCCATCGGGCATTCCTAATTCTTTTCCACCATCGAGTGCATTTCGAAGAGCCTAATGATTTTTTTTTAATGCATTAACTGAAATTAGATATAATGTTGTACTCTATAATATAAGTGCATAATACAAAATTATCAAAAAAAAAAAGAATAATACCGTATGGTTGCGAGTGTACCAATCGCCGATCATAATTACGATATCGCCATCGGGGGTATTGAAGGGAATGGGAATAATGTCCCGATTATTGACGATGAAAGGGCCGAATCCACCGGACGATCTTTGCATGCCGAGCGAAGGGTAGTAAAAGAAGCTCCCGATTTGATCCTTGACTTGGAATTGATAAGTCCAGTTCCATTTCGGTGGGATCGGGCAATTGGTGCCGAGAACACCGTCTTGCCACGAAGATCGACGCATCTGGATTCCGGACCTGGAAAATGAATGAATTAGTGGGAATTAAATAAATCGAAAAACCAAATTGAAATCTCTGGAAAATTGGGATATAATTGTTCACCATGTCATGAGAAGATTTTCGTCTAGTTTGTTCTTGACGTTTACAACGACGTTGTAATTAGTTGTTACATTGAGAACTGGGCCTGGGAATTTCCCATTGACTGCTATTACCTGGAAAAGGGAATGCATTGTGTATAATTACAATCTGATGCAAATATTAAATAAATAAATAAAAATGAATTATCAAATAATAAGTAACAAAGAAAAATACTACTAGTTTGGAAGAACACCAAATTAATGTAAATCAAAATCGAAACCGAAAGGGAATAGAATAAAATCTGCATAGAATTTACTGCTAGTGTTTATCCATAATCAAAATCAAGTTTTACAAAATTGAGAAGTCACAAATCCGCACAAGTCAAAAACAGAATCAAATTCGATAAATCCTAAATTCACCAATAACCAAAACAGAAAAACAAAAAAAAAAAACACACAAACACACAGTGAACGGATGAAAATTGAAAAATTGAAAAAAATGAAGAAATAATTATTTAACCTGTTGAGGAACACCAAGCGGAGAAGCAGTGATGTAAGAGATATCCAATTCGAAGTTGGCGAAGGGGTCGGCGCCAAAACACACACCAAATAGCAAACCGACGCAAATCAAATACAGCAGACGAAAAGCCGCCATTAACGAATTGAGCGAGCGCAGAAACTTCTATTAATTAAAAAATAACCAAAAAAAAAAAAACAAATCAGTGTGTTTTTTATTTTATTTTTTCTGAGCCAAGTTTCTTCCGTGTTTTTTTCACATGAAGAAAATTCGCTGCGGCAAAATGCAGAGAAACAGAGTGAGTGCTATTCAATTTTGATTCTCTTGCGGCTCTGTGCTCTGCTGGCGTTTGATTCTCTCTCTCTCTCTCTCTCTCTCTCTCTCTCTCTCTCTTCTTTCTCTCTCTAAAAAATGCTGGTTTTGAAGTATTCTTGTGTATATATTTCGTTCTATAATTGTGTGGCGTGACAGGCGTTTTTTTCCTTTACCGGTTACTTTTACAGCCGGTTTCACTTTGGATCATTATTATTTATTATATTCTTATTCTTATTATTATTATTATTATTATTATTATTATTATTATTATTATTATTATTATTATTATTATTATTATTATTATTATTATTATTATTATTAGTAGTAGTAGTAGGAGGAAATAAATAAATGTTTTTTTTATTATTTTAATTAATTTTCTCAACTAACAAATTGAAAAATTAATTGGGTTTTGGAATTTCTATTACTATGCTGCACCGAGTGGTAAATAGATACAAGATTGTTGATTAATTTTTTTTTATTTTTGACTTTCCTTGTTTCTCTATTTTCACATATTGATTTTTTGATTAAATTAATTATCGATCGAAAATTTTATTATTTCATATTGTCTGTCTGTCAAAATTCTTGCTTTTATTGTTTTGTCGTAGTATTATTATCCCTAAATCCTCTCAAACTTCACCAAAAGACAGAGAGTGACAGAGAGTAATTCGTAAAACGATAAATTTATTATATTAAATATGTATTTATTAGTTTTCTTAAAAGTTTGTAATGAAAATTGCATTTAATGTTGTTTTCCTCTTCTTGTTCTGCAGATTATTCAAAAAATAACACAATTAATGTAAGTAAAAATGAATTTTAATGATTTACAGGATTATATTTATTTCATTACATTGTCTGAATAAGGAAAATGTTATATTGAAGATTCACTCCTTATAATATACAGAGGATTATTACCATAATAAACTTCAATATTATAACAGTTCATGGTAATAAAATTTATTTATTTCCCAATATATTCAATCCGAAATGATAATTTTTTTTGACTTTTTATTTTTTAAAGAATGCAAGTGCAAGTGCAATATTACACATAATCTTGTACAAAAGGAAAAAAAAGTAAAAGAATATTTTTTTTCCCGCAAAACTTCTTAATTTTATAATCTATAATAATAAAATCTATTAAATTTAATTGGAATTAATTCGTTTCACATTAAATATTGCACCAATATTTCTTTTATTTGGAAAGTTTATTCCCCAAATCGTCCATTGATATTCGAATCATTTTTTTTTTGACACAAATATTATAAATACTCGAGCTTTATTTTGTTTTTGAAAAACAACCGGCGATTACCGGTGGCCATTCAACGCTTTTTGCATGCAAATAAATGGGTCCCACACATGGCGAACGGGATTTATGTGGGGCCCATTGGAAACAAACAGACACCGGCAAATTTATCCACTTCCAATATTTGCTACGTCCCCACCACCACTACCAAATTTGCCCTTTCCTTTATGCCTTTGGCTTGGCGCCAATTTGCTGACCTGGCAATATTTTTTGATTTACTCCTTGTTTTGCTTCTAGCTAATATCCGATCTATGAGATGCTGCATCCTGATTTTATATTTATATCGTAAACACATATATACATGAGTGTGTTATTTAGTATATATCAAAAGTTTAAGATTAACATTTACAAAATTTAAATTCATTATTTTGGATTTTATTTAAATTCAGTTTCCTAATTCATATTCGAGTATTTAAATTTATGGGGTGATTTGCCAAACACCATTCAAATCTAATTTTTTTTTCTAAAGATAATTATATTTTCTCGTTTCACTAAAAATCAATCAGACAGCTTAATTACAGAGTTTAGTTTAAAGATAAACATATCATTTTGTAGGATGGTGGATACAAACTGACGGTCCATATAATTTCTCAATAATATGAAAAAATTTGTAATTACAATTTTACCTCAGGGAGGTGATTGTATTCTGCTCGTGGATGAATAAGTAGACAAGCTCTTACTCAATATCAAATTTTAAAAGGCTTGTCTTTGTTACTAATATATGAAGGTCAATTACCAAGTTTTTGCATAAAACAATCATTAATTTAAATTATCTAAATAATAATATTAAAAAAAAAAAGAGAGAGAATATGAAGGCGAATTAAATTACTTTCACTAGCTACTAGTCATTTTCACTTACCATCACTAAATACTAAATTAGAGAGAAAATGTCATCATCACACAATATTGGCAATTGAGTAAAAATATTGTTCTATCACATAAATATATTTTCAGTTTCAATACTGAATGGACGTCCAAACAAAAACCCAACTAATTTCATTTTTTTAGGAATTAATAAATAGGCGTTAGGTGCGTCTGGAAAATCTTCAAGTTGATTTTAGCCTGAATTGGAACACCCACTCAATAATTGAATGAAAATACTATGAATCCTAAATAAATTTATGAAACATAAGTGCCGACAAGCATGTCAACATTTGACTTCAATATCATATTACGTAATTTAAAAAAAAAAATCATTTTTATAAGGATAACTGTCACTTTAACCTTTTTGCAGTTACAAGTTTTTGCAAATGACTCTCATTGTGCTTGTAATATCAGTTCATATTTTCTTTGTATTTGGCAGGGAGTAACGTTCCTTAGTTTTTTTTTTTTTTTGTTAAACTTAACTACGTGGTCAAACATTAAAGAAAGTTGTAAGCACAAGGGCACCATATGCAAAAATTGTAGTATTTGACGTTTGAAACACAAAATTAATTTTGACGGAAAAAAACTAATGGACGATATCGCTATTAACCACAAGGGAGTTATATGTTGATATTACGAGCATTAAAGATTCATTTGCCAAAGCATGTGATTATCGAGGATTTAAATGATATTTACCCTATTTTATAATTGAGTTAATTTATCGACTAATTCATTGATAATTTACTAATGTAGAATAAAGTCTAATTTTTACGTGTAGTCTAGAAAATGAACAAAGAAACAAAAGAAGAAAAACAAAAAATGAGCTGGCTAAGTGGCTATATATATATATATATATATATATATATATATATATATATATATATATATATATATACAACTATATTTTTATTTTATTTTCCATTTCCGTAAATTAAAAAAATGTCCTTATCCATAGTCGTTTTCCTTCTTTCATTTTCTCCTTAGTATTTGAATTTAAGAATTTAAAAAAAATAATGAAATTTTAAATTCATAGCCTTGGCTTTAGGTATAACATACATTATTTCTTGAAGTGGATGTTATATATCCATATTAGATTCGAGCTAGAAGGCATTATTGTATATATTTTACATAGCTAATTTCTCTTAATCTAGAATCTATTATTTAAATACGTATATTAAAATGAATTAGTAATTGAATTAAGTGGCCACTATTGTTGATGTTACATATATTTTACATGATGTGATATTGAATAAATCCAAAGAGATCAACAATCGGCTTGTGTCTTCATGTACAATTATATACGAGATTTTTATATCGTAATGAAGGACCCCGTAACCAATTATACAGATGTCCTGAGTAAACCTACATTCTCGTATAATTACTTCCAAATTATACGAGAGACGTAAATTACACTAGATTAATAATGTGCGACAAGTTCTACCTAGCTACCGTCAACGCCGTTAGCAAGGGATATCGAACGCGGGTCAATTGACAGATGGTAAATAAATTATCTTCATTTAAATTTAATTAGTTTGAAAAGAGGAATTGTTTATTAATTAATTAGTATTAGCAAAATTACAAATTGGGTCCGAAAGCATGCAATTGCTTCTCGTTCAATCTACCCATGCACATTTAAATTTCATTCAACAAATCACCCTCTTGGTTGCCTAACTACCTTCAAACAGAAAACATTATCTGAATTATCTCAACTTTTTTTATTTTAATAAAAGAATTCATTGAAAGACCAAAAAGAAAGAAAAATAATAATAATAAATAAAGAAAAAGAAAAAGAAGATAGATAACAGATCGCTTTCACGCCTTGGGCTTGGATACACTAATTAAAACACTTTAATCAAACCCAGAAAATCCATTAACAAGTCAAAAGAAAGATAAATAAATATAATATTCAGACACCTATATTTTTATCGAAAAGAAGATGAACATATAAGAGCTCGTAGGCTCACTTGATCCAACTGCTAGGTCATCACTTGCGGGACGACTAACCTTAACTCTCTCTTCCACTAAATGTATCGCTTTTGTTAAAAACCATGTATGCCGGTCTTACAATGCTTCGGTTCAATTCAGTTTAATTTGGTTTTTTCCGGTTCATGTTCGATAGTTTATTTTTTCCTTTTTCCAGTTCAAAAACAAATACACGTTTCGATAAATAAATGTATCAATGGTATGAATGCCAAAAATATTACAGAAGAAACTCCACACCTCCCTCGCACATTCTAATTGGAGAAACAAATGCTCGAGTGTTTCAACCTAGGTTTTCAAGTTTTAGATTTCGGGTTCCGGGTTTTCATTTTTATACAAAAAAAAGCCCCACGTTTAGGGCTTCAATACCCGAACTTGACATTATTCCGAACGTAGAAAATGTCAATCCAAGGCTCCGAGCTATATAACCTCAATCAAAGCAAACATCGTTAATTTCACAAAGAATTCAGATCTTCGTCCACATGTTAAAGGAAAAACTAGAACATAAGTCTTGACACGACGACACGAAATATTTCTAAGAACGAAAGTAAAATCAAGTTCAGCTAAATACGCAAACATGCTAAAAAATTTAGTTTTAGTACAATCAAACATCGAAACTTTGAGAACCGCTAGTTTGCTCTTGATCAAGCATTTGAACCACCTGCGCAACACCAGCAGCGAGTTCCTTATTGATCGTGCCATCTGGCATATCGAACATTCTCCTTCTCATCGACAAAGACCTTCCGGAAGCTTGTTGAGGCTCCACCACATCAAGCATACCCTCCAGCTCTTCCACCATCGATTTCTTCGCCCCTCTAACCATCACATCATAACCCTAAATCCCCAAAAAAAAAAGAAAGAAAAAACCCATTATGTATGTACAGTAGAACTTAGATAAATTAATAACCTCGCTTAAATAATGTTTTATTCCTGTCCCAACTCGGTAAAAACATACTAAATTATTATTTCGATAATTTAATATTTCGCTAAATTAATAGAATTTTGTTAGTCCCGACTGTATTAATCTAAAGAGGTTTAACTGTATATGTATATGTATGATAGAGTGGTTACCGGAATAGCATCAACAGTGAGAAGAAGAACGATGATTTTTTCGGAGAATCTCTGACGCTCTTCTGCATTGTTTGATAAACGACGGCGATAAGAGAAGTTGTTGAACAAAGACCGTATTTCCTTCAATTTTGACTTTGCAATTGCCAGCTCACGAAGTGCGCGTAGAGATTGAGACCTTCGAATTAGATAAGCCCGGAAACTGATTTGAATAAGAGAAGCTGCATCGTGTGGAGAGAGCTCCTTTTTCTTTCCGTTTCTCTTCTCCGCTCTCTTAGCAAAGGCCTTTTAACACACGAATGAAAGAAGCACATGATGAATAAATATTGAAACGAGCCTCAATTTGTAAGCGAAAACAAGAATTGAATAAAAAGTATGAAAAGTAATAGAATGCTTAGACAAGTAATCTTTCAAAACCCCCAAAAAAAATACGTCTTGACGATTTCATATTTTCTTGGGGAATGTTCCCATTTACGGATCCGTCTCCAAAACGATTTTTTCTTTAAGAAAATTATGTGGCATCCACTAACTCTCAAGCCTACTTTCTTTGTAATGATTAGGGGTGAAAGTCGGATATAGATCGGAAAGGAATTAGGCTTTTCGGAAAATTTCCAAAAAAAATCGGAAATTTCGATCGGAAGTACAAAATCGGAACTTTTCGGGATTTCGGAAATCACAAAATTTTAAAATTTCAAAACTTAGCGGAAATTTTCTGAAAAATTCATAATTTCCCAAAAATAAGAACATCTACGTCGATAAAAGTAAAACTAATAACTACTAAATTTTAGTTCAAAAAATAAATAAAAATGAACCACATCATGATATCCAATAAAACTTCTAATAATAATTCAATACGTCAAAATCCCTAAACAAAACTTAAATCAAATTATTGTTTCAGAAAACAAAAAAAAACTTAAAATAAGTATTATATAATATATATAATTTATAGGTGTATTTTTCGGAAAAAAATCCGAATTTTTCGGAAATCGAAAATTCCAAACTTTTTTATACAATTCCAATTCCAATCCAAAAAAAATCGGATTTAAGTTGATTCGGAAAAATTCGGAAAACAGAATTTCGAAAGTCGGAATGAAAAAAGTTGTTCCAAAATCGGAACTTTTTCGATCGGAACCGGAAGAAATTGGAATTTCCGATTCGAACTTGCCACTCCTAGTAAAGATACATAGAACTTTCAATATTTTCAACTCTCATCCAAAATTCTGCATCGAATCAGACAGAAACTACATTAATTGTTTGAAACGGAGTATATTGTTTATATATCTATACAAGTATATCTTACTCTTATAAAGAGAAGGTTTTTGCCGATTAAACCAAAGGCAAATGCTGCCACTAATCAATACATGTGAAGTGATCTATCAGTATTTCGTAAACATCGAACGTCGACTCACTTCTTCGTCGCCTCGAACTAATCGAAACAACACAAACATACAAATTGGCATAGAGACCTTCACAAATTGTTTCCACCACCACAAAGAATACTCTATAATTACTTATAAGAAGAAGAAGATCATCCAAATTCATATTGTTCATCACAATTAAAATATTCAGAAATCGGATTTAAAAAACAATTAATTTAATTGAATTAATTAAAACACTGACCTGCCTCAACACAACGCCACCATGGCGAGTGGTAGGGGTGGGCATTCGGGTCGGGTTATTCGGGTATAACCCGACCCGGTCGGGTATTACCCGACCGGATCGGGTAATTTTTTTCGTAACCGGGTTTTTCCCGGGTTCGGGTACCCGGTGCTCCCAAACCGGGTCGGGTCCGGGTATTAGAAATCCTACCCGGGTACCCGATCGGGTACCCGGCTGAATTTTTTTTTTTTTTTTTTTTTTTTTTTTTTTTTATATAAAGATATATATATATATATATATATATATATATATATATATATATATATATATATATATATATATATATATAAATATATATATATATATATATATAAATATATGTATATATATATATATATGTATATCAGTGACTGTATATGTATATGTCTATATATATATATATATATATATATATATATATATATATGTGTGTATATATATATGTATATCTTAAGTAAATTTAGTTATTGTTTATTTTTCAAAAAAAAAAAAAAAAAAAAAAAAAAAAAAAAAAAAAAAAAAGAGGAAAATAGCAAAACCCGAACCCGACCCGAACCCGACCCGAGATAACCGGGTACCCGGTTGCCGGGTACCCGGTTATTTCGGGTCGGGTTCGGGTAATTTTTTTTTTGCAAAAAACCCGAATAACCCGACCCGAATAACCCGAATAACCCGACCCGACCCGAATGCCCACCCCTAGCGAGTGGGCTCTTCAATCTCAACAATGCGGGCGGTGGGGCCCACCTTCTTACCCTTCTCCTTCACTTTATCCCCTTTCTTCTTCGTCTCCTTTTCCAATTTGCCGCCGGTCGACACCTTAACCGTGTAACTCCGTTCGATCGGACGGCAATCGCCGCCCTTGCCCTTGCCTTTAATCTGAGCCGTACATTTGTAACTCTTCTCCACAACGTTACTCCCATCCTCGCCGCTCTTAATCCCCGCCGTCCATTTGTACTTCCGGTCTTCGTCCGGCTCCTCAATCTCCGCCGTCCACGTGTGCTTCCGCTCGCCGATCTGCTTCTTCTTCCTCGCCTTCTCCTCTTTCAGTAGGCGTTCGAAACCGATCTCCAATTCCGACACGCGATCGGAGATCGCCTCCAGGTACAGCTCGCTGGGTCCGACCCGGCGGGAGATCCGGCGGGTCGAGATCCGGGATGGGGTTTTCTCGACCCGGATCAGATCGAGAGGAAAGTGTGGAGGGTGGGAATATTCTAGAAGGTCGAAAGCGCGGTGAAACTCTTCTTCAACAATGGCGAACGGAGGGAAGAAGGGGTTCAGGAATAGGGTTTTCGGAGGGGAGAAAATGGAGGTTTCTTCGACAATGTCGAATCTTCTGAACCTCCTCATTTTTATTCAGATTTAAATTCAAGAAAAAACTCGGTCGCGATTGAGGTGATGATATATATAGAAATGAATGTATATATTATATGTATGTATATAGCTTGGTTTTGTGGATATATTTGTGGGTTCATTACTAAAATAATATTAAATCTATAAGATAATTTATATTTATTAATTTCTAATTGACCCCATCAAGTATATTAATTAATAATGAATAAAAATAACAAACTACATTAAAATATAGGGTAAATTACAAACACTCCCCTGAGGTATGGTCAAATTACAAAAACTCCCCTCTTGTTTGGATAATTACATCTACCCCCTCAATTATGATATTTTCTTACACTTCCACCCTTATGGTGCCAAATTCAACACAATCATCTAAATTCCGTGGAATGTGCTCTAGTTTGTATTCGTTTTGTGTAAAAATACAGTTTCCAATGCACCACAAACTGATATATATAAGCTGAAAAACACATATTATGATCATCTTGCTTCATAATGTAGAGTTCGAATGAGATAAAACGGGTACAAAAGTGATAATATTCCATATAAACTCGAAGATTTTACTAAATTTGAGAAGTTGAGGGGGTGGTTGTAATTATCCAAACAAGAGGGGTGTTTTTGTAATTTGACCATATCTCAGGGGGTTGTTTGTAATTTACCCATAAAATATATTTATAAATCTATAAAAACTTGATAAAATATAATTCCTTTTTGCTTTTCTTGTTCCTTTTTGAATTTGAAAATATCACCTCCAATCTTATCCATTAGTTTTTTTTCATTATTATGGCAAGGACTTTTGATTTACTTTTATCATAGCTTAAAAAAAATATATGCACAATCTTGTTGCTTTAAGAGCTTCCGTCAGAAAAACGGCCTTTAAAGTAGAACTATCATCTTCAACTTTATCGTCTTTATCAATCCTCATGTTGCCATCACTAAGTTGCGTTATTCTTTTCAGGGTAGTCCAAAAGATATTCAGTAACTATTTCACAATCTGACGATTCATCCAATTTTTTTTTTTTTTTGGTATTTATCGAAAATGATAATTCTAATAATATTTTCATTAATTAATTAATGTATAAAGTAACAATTATTAACTTATTGATAACTTAATATCTGACCAAATTAATTGAAATAATTAGTTAGTATTTTTAAGTGAAGTTGGTAAATTTAATATTTATTTTAACTAGTATATCTTGTGTTTACAAATTAGAAAATCGTACTTGGATGATTTATGTAGAAATATTAAATTAATAAATATTAGTTTTTCTTTTAGTTGTTATTTGCAAAAAAATAAAAAATTATGGGTGTCGTGAAAGATTGACTATAGAGTTTGTAAATAAATTCAAAATTTTAATTTATGTTTGTGAAATTCCTTAAATATCACGATAAAGTGGAGTTAGATAATATATATTAGAATAAATTCTAATTTTTACTTTATTTTAAGAAAAATAAAAGTATTTTTTGTAAAAAATCATAAATAAAGTATTAGGCATTAGCTAACAAAACTGACAATCTATTTTCAGGATCGGTTTACAAATTACAAAGTACAAACCCCACTTTTGTATGCGATTTTATTATATAGTATTTATTTGACGTAAAAAGGAACAAGATCTAAGTCAATCAAATTATATTCAAAAGAAAAATTAATATATTGTCAATTTTATTATGCTTTTACATCACGTCAAATTATTTATGAATTGGGATAATCTAGCATATAAGTATACTATAAGCATCACTAATTTCAATTATACTCCATCAAAAAGAGAATTAAATGAGGCTATGATGAACTTATGATTGATTTATTGAATAGCAAAACCAGATAGTAGTAGTTGCGTATAATATCAAAACCTCACCAAGAAATCGTGTTTAAGTAAAATTGCGGGATCTTCGCGTAGTAGTTGCGTATAATATCAAAACCTTCACGAAGAAATCATGTTTAAGTAAAATTGTGGGATCGTCGCATAAGGGATGAGCTAGCGGTTGGAGCAAGTGGGTTTTTTGTCAATTGACTCAAATTCGAATCCTCTTATCCACGGTCGCTAGGTCGAACTTGTCACACATAGTTAGGGCTCGTTCGGGTACCTATATTGGATTAGATTGGATTAACTCCCTACTGACTAATTAATTATTTAGTTAGTAGCATGTTCGGTTTCTTAGATTATATTTTCTATTAAATTTGTTAAAATCTGTTATTATATATAAATTGTCTATAAAACCACTTAGTTTACAATAATAAAGGATAATTTTAAGGATAAAATTGTATTTTTCTTTTGTAGTCACCCCCTGTTAAATTAATCTCAGGGGGGTGGGTGCTACGAATTCAATGAAATAGTAGCATTTAATGACGGACTTTGAATTTAGTAGCTGATTTGAAAAAATGTGAATCTTATCAACCGGACATGTTATTAGCCCCTACTATTTAATCACTAGAACCTTATATTGATAACCGAACGAGCCATTACTCTAATATAGTTTATATCTCTCCTATTAGTTAATTATGAAGTAATCTCATATAAAAAGATAAAGAAAATAAAGAATGTTTTGTGATAAAATCCTACAAAATCAAGAAAGAATCCTTGGTGATGCACAGAATCATAGGTAAAGTATGGAGGAGCACATGGGCTTCTGATTTCCGACAACTGTTCACCACTCCCATTTGTCCTAAACTTCTTAATTATTGAATTTATTATATAAAAATAAAAGGATATAACTTTCAGGTAGTTTATTTAGTATATCTTCAATTGTATTATATAAGGTGTACTTTTGATACAGAAAAATATCATTCATCATTTATACAAATTAATTTGAGTATATACATAACTAAATTAAAGTTTTACGACACTTAGGTGGGGCTTGCAAAAACTTATTTAAAAGTAGAAGTTAGTAATTGTGAGTTAAATTGGGATTAAGTGATTATTTCTAAAAGTTTGGGGTGTTTGCAAATTAACTGGAAAATCAATTAAAATAGAATAAACAAGTACAATGGTGCTTTTAAAATTATAGCTTAAAGCAACTAATTTTAAGAGAAGAAAAAACAAAAACTTGTTTCACAAACATGTAAAAACAAATTATATGAAGAAAAAAACTCATAATCTATTTTTAAAAGCAAACACCACCTTATAAAACCGATGGAGTATTACATTTTAATATTTTATGATAATAATAAAAAAAGAAGAAAAAAAAAAGTCTTCTAACTTACTGAAGCCCAATGTGGTTCGGCCCATCTGCGTGCAAAATAATTGTACGCTACACAGACTACAAAAGAGCCCATTAAATACATTTATTTAGATAATGTTCGGTTGCACAAATCGTATTAATTTATGTTTTTAATTAAACTATAGTGAAAACTAAACCCCTAATGGATAATTAGAATTTTTTTTTCTTTTTTTTGAGAAAAACCTAAAGAATATTATTAGGCTATATTAGCCAAATCTAAAGGCAAAGTTTGGCCTTCAAAATAACCAGAATCATAGTTATTCGCAATAGCGTGGGCAACAAGATTCCCCGAACGCTTTACAAAAGTAAAAGTACAGAGATCAAATTCTCTAGAAAGAATAAGACTTTCTTCAATTAAAGCACCATAAGAAGAATCGGACGATAGATTATCCTGAAGGGTGCTGATCACTCGTAAGTTGTCACCTTCCAGCATTATGGATTCATACCCCATTTCCTTTGCCTTTGAAAGAGCATGCAGGGCTGCATGCGCCTCTCCGTCAATCACCCTTGGTCTCCCGGTAATCCGATTCACACTCCACCATAGGCATCTTCCTCGATGGTCCCTAGCAACGTTTGATGTGACATAGTAGCTTTTGCTCTTGGGGAAAGCTGCATCAAAGTTAATTTTCACAATTCCCGGTCTCGGAGGATTCCAATTCGCCGGATGCATAGGTGTCTTCATTGGAGGAACTTTAATCTACCCTTGTTGGTACGTCAAAAGATAGCTCGAACACCACTGTACAATCTCACTAGAAGAAGACTCAGGTTCACCATGCAACTCATCATTCCGTCATTGCTAGAGCTTCCACATCACTGTCACCGCCAATGGGAGAGTTGTCATGTCAAGGTGCTGGAGCAGAAATTCAATCCAGCCCCACACCGATGCGATTCCGGTAAAATTTGTTAACCTGAGTGGAGGCTGTTTCCAAAGCTCGACCACTCTCCGACAAAAAATAATTGAGTATAAACTCGTTTCAATTTCAACCCCACATCTAGGACAATATGGGTCAGTAGCAATTTTTCGACGGAAAAGAGCAACTTTGGTCGGCAAGACATCCCAGCAGAAGCGCCAAATAAAAATCCTTATCTTCGGAAGGATCGATAAGTTCCACAAAAATTTCCAATTTAGCTCAGTGGTCCCACTTGTCGATTCCCTATCCCTCAACCGGCTGGGCTGCATGTTGATACTATTGGAGAATAAGCTATGGTAGCACGATTTCACCGAGAAACGTCCATTATTTGACCATCTCCATATCCACGAGTTAATTGCATAGACCCCCTGTGTTATTTCTCGGAAGCAAAAAACCCCCCCGGAAAAAAAAATTAGCATATAACCCCCTATGTTGTGTTTTAGTCAGCCCACCGCCCCTTTGTGTGCACTGGCTCGTTGACTTACGTGAAATGACAGAATTGTCCTTAATAAAAAATAAAGCAAAAATTATTTCTTTGATGAGTGGTCAAATTATAAATAACTATAATTTATAGGACCAAATTGTAAATTTTAAAATTTCCAAAATTGCAATAAGGGACAAAAATTGAAGATTTTTTCAGATCTTCTTCTTCGTTTCACTCCGCCGCCCACCTCCCAGCCCGGAAAAACTTCGGCATCACCGCCGCCTTCTCGCCCGTCTAGCACCACCGCCGCCTTCTGGACCGTCGAGCACCTAGCCCGATCAACAGCGACGGCTTTAGTGACGAAAAGCAGGGTCCCGCTTTCAACATTTTTCGTGGCAAACAGTCCGCGACCACTGATTTCTGATTTCTTGATATCCAATGCGCCGATGTACTCTGCTAATTCGGGCGATTTCCCACGAAACCCACTCAACACCCACTCAGAAATATCGAATGCGCCGGTTCTCGACAGAAACTCGAGCCTCTTGCATTTTTCCAAGAACCCATTTACCAGATCGGAATTCTCGGTCGCCTGGGGGCCGAGATTGGCGGCGTTGAAGCAGCACAGGGCGGCGCTGTACCTGTTCAGACTCAACAAAATCTTACCCTTGCAAACGAGGGTTTTGAAATGGGAATCGTCGATTCTGAGGGCCTCCTCGCAGTCTGTCAGTGCTAAGGTGTGGTCCGACAGGCGGGCCCGGGCTTCGACCCGGTTGGAGAAGGAGAGGCAGAGGAGCTTCTTGAGGTGGGGCCCATCTGGGTTTTTGGCGGCGATGCGGGTTTGGCAGAGGGAGATGATTTGGGAGTAGGTTTGGATTGAGAAGTTCTGTGGCTTCTGTTTCTCTCATATTGTTTTGTTGCTGGATAATTTTTTTTTCTTTTTTTTTCTACTCGTTAATAATAATCAGGAGATGTGAAAAAGATTTGAAATGTGAGGAATTTGGTGGTGGTGATTTCAATGGCGAAGAAGAAATTTGGATTTTGGGGAAGACGATTTCAGCCCACAATTTGATAATTACAATTTAGTCCTATAACTTTAGATTATTTATAATTGAATCAATCTGGGTTTTTTTCCTCTACCAAAGGGTTTTTATGTCTTTTCCTGTCCTAAAATGTCCTAAAACGCACGCCCAGCTGCATGAACCGCGAGTGTATCCCACGATTCGCTCGTAGGGTCCTTATTGTCATTGACTTCCTTTCATAGGGGGGTATTTGCTAATTGTTTTATCCGAGGGGTTTTTTTGCCAATTAGACATTTCACAGGGGAGCCGAGTGCAAATACCCCCCATATCCACCTATCTTCAACCCAAGAATTGCCTAACGGAACTGCCAAGATGCGTTCTTTATCGATTGACCAAAACCATGTATCAAGTAAGCCGACATCCCATGTTCTAGTCATGGGGTCAATGAGATCGGCGAACTTGTTCGGGAAAGAGGAGAAGGTTGGACGCTTTGTAAGAATATTCCGGCACCCATCATCTGCGAGCCAAGGGTCCGCCCATATGGATGTGGTTGCTCCATCTCCGATACTCCTTCGAAGGCCTAACTGTAAGGCTGCTCTAGCTAACCAAATACTTCTCCACGTCGCCGACGGCCTATGACCAAGGTCCACCGTAAACAGGTCGCCATTAGGGAAGTACCGTGCCTGTAGTATCTGTGAGAGCAACAGGCTAGGTTGGGTCAAAATCCGCCAAGCTTGTTTCGCAAGTAACGCCATATTGAACCGCTGCAAATCTCTGAAACCGAAATCACCATCTTTTTTTGGCTTTGCACATCTCATTCCATGAGATCCAAGCTAGCCCGCGTCTGCCATTGCTGCCCCACCAATAGCGGATTAGACTTTTTATTCAGTACTATGTTTCTTTCCTTGTATTAGATCTAATATTAAAATTATTAATCTAGTACTTAATATGATTTATCTATAACGTCCCTAATGTAATAACTAATAATAATTCAATCATACTTTTTGTTTCCTTTACATATATATGTTTACAAAACTAATCGCATGAGGAGGCTCACTAATAATTTTATTGAATAATAACATCTATAACTATAAGATTTTATTTTTATTGCGAGTCTAAATTAAATTATTGTTGTCAATTGAACATATTAATAATTAGTATTGTTGCCATATTAGGGGTGTAAACCGAATGGATCGGATAGCATATACCCCTCTCGAAAAAAGTTCGATTTTTTTTTTTCCTTTGGAATTAGTAAATTTAAACAAATTTAATCATACATGATATAATGATTTATTATATATTGTTCTCAATTACAAAACCTTCACGTATATATATCGATTATTACAATAGCAACATAATCAACACTCTTGATATTTATCATATATTATATCTTATAAGAAATTAAATAATGATGATGATAATTATTGTGTAAAATAAAATTAAAAATCATTTGTTGTGAATGGGTGATTTGCGATGGGGTGGCTGGTAGTCTGTTTCTGAAAGATATTCTTCCTTGAAAATTGAGGAATTTAAATCCTTTTCTCTAATACTTTGATGTGTCCATCTTGAACCCTACATTTAATAATATATTGGTTATAATTAATAAATTAACAGTTAATAAATTGATGAAAATGTTTTGGCCCACCAATATAATTTTACTTTTCACCTACTCAATATACATTTTTTTGACATTTCTAAATAAACCATGTTTTGCCCCACCAAAATAATTGACATATAATTTTTTTTTTCCCGTTTCTATATATAATAGATGAAGTTAATTATTTTATTAGTTCCTAGATGTATATGATATTATGATGTTATAGGAAAAATTCTAATTCTAATCATAACAAAGTAAATAACACAATTACGTTACGGTTTATTTGATGCTACACCCGGTGAAATACACCATTTAGGATTGAATAATTATTCAAAATCTTCAATTTAATATTTTGCTTAAAAAAAAAGTTATGCAAAACTAAGTCCTAAAAAAAACACAAATCACTAACCATCCACACTACATAAATAATTATCACCCTAATTAATTCCATAGGATGCCAGTTACACAACATTCGAAGTTATTTTGAGTGTTTAATTAATGAATATTATTAATTTATTATTTTACATTTCATTATTAATATATAATGCTATTCTTTAATTTATATTTTTCATTTAATGGCTCTTATTATTGAACTCCTCTTTTTCTTTCATGTTTGTAAATATCAATCGTAATACAATGAAACCTCTATAAACTAATATAGTTATTACCAGCCAAATTCTATTAATTTAGTAAAATATTAATTAACGAAACATTTTTTAGCACGTTGCCTTCGAGTCTGGACCGAGAAAACATACTATTTAAACGAGGTTATTAATTTATCGAAATTCTACTATATCTTATATGACCTCGCATATTTTCTTTTAAAACTAGTAAATCCTTAATTTATATTATAACATTTCACATATATTAAAAACTTTATAATTTTTTTTAAAAATATATAATTTTCCTAAATCCTTAATTAATATAATGTTCCCTTATTATTTCATATAGTATATATGTGTTTTAATTTGTTTGGGGACAAATTAAAAGGCTTAAAAAAGAATAAAGTTTCTTAATTATTTACCTCTGCAGATTTTGTTGCATGCAGCAAAGCCTTGCGAAGAGAAGACTTACAATCCTCACTACTTCCTGCATTTCTCATTTGTATAAGTAGTTCAAACATCTCTCTCTATATATATACATATATATATATATATATATATATAATTTATATATATATATATATATATATATATATATATATATATATATATATATATATATATATATATATATATATATATATATATATATATATATATATATATATATATATATATATATATCGAAAAAAAATGTAATATATATATCATGAGTTAAACGAGTAGTTCTTGGCTAAAAACCGGTAATTAGTGTAACATCTTCCAATGTAGGGTTTTGTGAGTGTGTGTGTGGAGTGTAAGGCACGTTAATTAATGCCAACTAATTTTAATTTATGGAAGAAATAACAAAAACAAAATAATAATAATAATATTTAAGACACAAATGATTATATAAAGAACTAAATCATCAGCTGAAACTCAAAACATTGTATGTATGTATATCTATATGTTCAGTTATGAGTAGGAGATCTGGTGATTGGTCGAGAATAATCGGAAAAAAACCCGGAATAAATGGATTGATGATGATGAGTAATTACACCTGACTTTGTTCCTTCAATATTAATTAATCCATCTTTATTTTTCTTGCAAACATCTTCTTGATCACTTTCATCCCCATTCGAACTCACAGAAATTTTCGTGCTGGAGTCGAGCTTCGTCTCCTCTATCTGCTTATTATAAATTCGGAACAACGACAAGAACCCAGTATTTAATTTCTCAGCTTATTACATATAGTTACATATATATACTTGTAATTAAATATGTATTAAGACTATAATTAAATATAGAGAGATGAAATTGAATAATTACCTTGTGAGGGTGGTGAAGCTTCTTGTGCAATATATCAGCTAAAAGGCGAGAATTACATGCATGCATAGACAAGCTGCAAAGAAACAATATGATCACGAATATGGTTTTGGCACACATAATAATTAATTGATATATGATGATTTAATTTAATTAATTTATAGAAATATTATGGACTGTTTATATATATATTCTGAGAAATTTAAAGATGTGTATTTTCTGTTGTGACTGGAATGAACTATATATATATGATGAGTTGTCTATGATTAGACAGTCTTGATTCTACAACTGGTCTGTTAATTATAGTTAAAGATCAAGCTTTTAAGCTAAAAGGTCGGTTCAAATAGCTTTTGTTGGCCTAGGGATTTACAATTATTGTTTGAAAAGTTAAAACAAAATATTTATTAATTACATATATGACAATAACAATTATATCAATAAATAATTGAATAGAATATAAAATATATAAAATATAGTTGTGTAATCTTTGAAAAGTAAAAAAGAAAAAACGTGTAAATTAATTAGAGATGTATGACAGAAAAATAGGAGATTAATGTTGAAAGGATTCTATACAATTTGGTTTGAATTTTGTACATTTTAATGATTTTATATTTAGAGCATTAGCAGATAAAATGTCATTAGGGTGTTTTTAGAGTTAACCTAATGTTTCTTTATTCTATGTATAAAAGATACATTTAATGAATTTAAATTTTAAAAATAATCATTTAGGAGCAGTAAATATACATAATTGGAATAAAATGACAGATAATGAAATAAAAATATTTATATTAAAAGCTGATACAACCTAAACTTCTGCAAAAATGGCAAGAATAGCAATTAACTAATTATAGAATATATTGCAAGAAAAAGATCCAAAGAAGGAAAAAAGAAATAAAGAAAAATAAAAAAAACAATATACATATATACCAAGATTGTGTTAGTTTGAAACAAGAATTTGGTGTAGGAAGGGACAAAAGAAACTGTAGTAAGCTAGAGAGGTAGGTTATAGGGTACATAGTCTGGTAACATGAAGAAAAAAGCATGCAGTGTGTGTGTGTGTGTTTTGACAAGACATATGATTGAGTAAATTTTAAGTTAAACACTTCACCTTATCTAACTGTTTTGTCAGGTCTCTATCAACACTGTTCTCTTTTTTTTCTTTTTTTTTTCACCCAAAGCATATTTGACTACTGTGTCATGCATATATATATATATATATGTGTGGGCCTCCCAAACCAAACCCCACCCACACACGCACACTTGATCGTACGTGTATATAATAGAACTACATCACAACTATTAGTTCATTTTAATATTATTACATTATTCATCGAGACAATTCAGTAGCGGAGCCAGCATAGCATGCATAGGAATAAGAGAGGCCATGGCAATTGGCAACCCAACATCTAAAAGTGTTCGGAGGTGGTAGCATTATCGGCCCCTTTCGGAATTCTTTTAGTGCTTCCGGCTTCGGCCACCGGAAACTTGAAATGATCGTAGTGGGACAATTGTTACAACTTGTATACACATGGCAATGCTAACAGAATTATATTATCATGGCTCAGTTTGCTTTCTTGTATAGAATTTAGTCGATATACAATTGCTTAATGGTAATAGGTTGTACGTTTAGGTCCCGTTTGGTTGACAAGATAAGATTAAATAATTTAATGAAATCCAATTATTTTAATGGAGCTTGCGACGTCCAACATAAATAACTCACTAGAAGGCAAAATAAGTCATGATCGATTATATAATTTTGGCGGGTCGACCCGGCAATTTATTGAGGATACCAAACATCAAATTAAGTCCAATTATTTAGTTAATCACGGCTTATCTTACCAACCAAACGGAGCCTTAGAGTACTACGGAAGTCAAATTACACAATTACTTATTAATTAAGGTAATTATAACAGGTTGTCTTCTGAAGTTATCGAACTATGTTTAGGAAGTTATTTTTCATTTTATTCTATGGAAATATGTTTAGGAAGTTAATTTTCATTTTATTCTATGGAAATATGTTTTGAGGAAATAAATTTTGAGAATGAAAGTAATGTTTGTTTATAATTTGAGATGAGACAAAATACAGGGTAGTGATCAAATCATATATAAAGTTGTTGAAAAAATGAATTGTTGAAGAAGAATTGAAATATAATATGATGTTTGTTTGTTTTTTAATGAAGATAATTTTTATTTTATCAGTCAAATTTTTTTTACTGCAGCAGTCAAATTATGTCCGAAAAAAGAGAAAAACTTTTAAAGTTGTTTTAGGAATTTCAAACCTAGAATTTTAGCTTAAACACTTTTATCTCCAGGATTTTAGGTAAAAAAAAATAGAGGGTTCACATTGGAAGTAACAATCACAAAATGGGGGGGAAAAATAAAAAGTAAACAGATACCTTGTAATTTGTAATGAAAAAAAAAGTTATTTAAAAAACAAAAAAAAAAATAGGTTCCTTGATTTTGGTTTGATGGATCAGATATCTATATGCATTGGTATCTGAGTTTAGTCCATCTACTGCTTATTGTCTTCTACTTCTTGAATCTTCCAACTTTTACTATTTGTTCATGAAATTTCAGATATTATTTCACCAATTCATGGGAGGCACGTGTGCGGGAGTAGGGTAATTTGGTAATTTCAATAAATTACTACATATATTTTCATTCAATTAATACTACATATATTTTGCATGTATTCTAGCTCATACAATATGGTTAATGTATGAAAGTTAAGTGATTTTTATAAAATTTGACAAATGTAAGAACAAATTGTTTTTCAAGATTAGTAACTTTCTTACACTACAACATTTTAGTGTTTATACGACGCATTGTTTACCCGACGGTTATAAAACCGTAGTAAATAAATGTATTCTAAATGGATTTAGCAAAATTACTGACGGAAAAATCCGTCATATATAATTATAGCTTGTTCTTTAAAAAAATTGGTAGTTGATGCGGGATCATCAATCAAGAATAGTAGCTCGGCTATCAAGAGTCGAGCTCGAGAGTTGACCGAGAACCCGGGTGCAATGTCACGAGCTCTCGTTGGCCGTAATGCATATACTTGTTAGCCTAACTTTCCAAAACCTGCCCCCCATCTCATACCCGATCAAATTCTTTTGTCAATTCCCATACCATCCCATATTTTTTCGGGGCGGGTAATACTCAGAAATTTCGGATCAAGGGTGGGGCAGGAATCCATTGGAGCGGGAAAAATTGCCAATTTGCCATCCCTAAACCCATCAGTAAGAATATTACTTAACGTTTTAATTTGTGGTAGGAATATTAATTAATATTATTTTATGTTTTTGACTACTTCCACAGTATGCTTCAAAAACAAAAGGTTATTGCAATATGTCTGGTGATTTACAGACATGCTCCAAACATTTACCCTAAAATTAAGTCTCTTAGCTTTTGACTAAAACATAAACAAGAAAAGTCAGATTAACAAAAAATAAAGGAAAAAAAAAAATTTGTATGTTTCTAGGATGATTAACTTCCTATATATGTGTCTCTCCATGTTTGCTGCTAATAGTAATTACCTCCTTAATTTAATGTTTAAAAAATATATGAAGATTTGAATTTAATGGAGTTGTTGGCATTGGAATGCTAATATTAATCTAAGACAGAATACAAAGCAATAAAATTTACAAAAGATAAAAAAAAGTCTGAAATATTGACTCGACTCGATGGTAATGTGCCGTATCGACTAGTCTAGTAAATTTAATAACAAGGGTAAATTACACCTACACCACTGAGACATGCTAAAATAATTCTAAGATTCTTGTAGTATCGGTAATTACAATTAGTCCTGAAACATTGTTAGAAATTTTAACAGAATAATGCATTGGATAAGTTATTTCGTTAGGGTTATAACGAACTATTAGTTTCAAGCAGTAGTGGAGACAACACAGAGCTAGGGGTGACATGACTCTCCTAACATTTCTTAAATCGATATTATTTTATATAAGATTCATAAATTCTCGTCTATACTAGCGTTAACGGCCCTACGGGAAACAAATATAGTGCATATTGGTCTCCAGAACATGAAATCTTGATTCCGGTAATTATTTCAGAGTGTGACTGTAATTACCAATATTACAGGGACCTTAAAATTATTTTAGCATATTTCAAGGGTGTAAGTGTAATATACCCTAATAACAATGAACTGACATTGTAAAAGAACATCATTCATTTTATGTGAAATTCATTTATTTATTTATTTATTTACCTAAGTAGTTATTTAATTTAATTTACGGGCACGTCGAAAACCAAGTTCTGATACGAAAAAATATACAAGTACATTATTTATATTTCGTTACCATTGAAGATGTTTAATCTGGACGGCGCATATCCGAATAACAATCATGATTTATTTCTAATTGAACAACGAAGCAGCACCCCCAGCACCGACGACGACGAACGACTAATTAAACATGATCAAAAGTAATCAAGCATTTAATTAACGAACTTAGGAAACAAACTTATCGACAAACTCATGTACCACTTAAAGGAAATTACGAATATGGCATTTCTTTTCCAGCTTACAGAAAAAAAAAAGAAAGAAAGAAAAAAACAACGACGAAGTTGTTGAACTGTTTCAGACACAGGTAGGGAATATACTGCAACAATGAATCGATTTCTTGTCAGATATTTCAGGGATCAAGAATTCAAGATAAAAAGCATAGGTAAGAATTCATGTTGCTCATTGCAGCATAAGATTCTTACTAGCTAGCTCCAAAACTACTATATATTTTTTAACTGATTCAAAACAATTGAGACAATTTAGACTAGTTTCGATCACTAGCTGAAACAGTATGCCGTTCGATCCCATGTTAACAAAGTCGGATATAGTTTTAACAATCTAATATTTTCATGAGAACAATTTTAGCATCCTTTGCTCACAAAACAATCGTTACATGTGACCACTAGTAGAAGTAAGAAAAAACACTTCTTGTTACGAGTTCAATTTGTAGCAAATTGTCCGAAATTCGTAGTAAAAGCCTTTTTGCTACGATTTTACCACAAAAATTTCTCCGTAACAAATATAGGCGTGACAAATACTTTACCACGGTAACCTGCAGTAGCAAATAGTATTTACTACGATTTTTTCAAGCATTTACTACGGTTTTTTTTTTGTCGTAAATATGTAAAAAAAAATCATTTATTTGGTACAGGGTTCTCGTCTTCCTTCTAACGCCCAATTGATTATTTGGTACGACATTATACCATAGCAAAAACATGCATATTATTTACTACAAGATATAAGATCATGTAGCAAATAAATGTACCTATTTCAAATTTAGACTCCTCTTACTACAACCTTTATATGGTAGCAAATAATTATATCTATTATTTACTAAAACCAGATTTGTGAAACATTAAATTAATCTGAAACGAAAACGTGCAACTAACTAAAGAATAAAACATCGATCGTAATTTTTTTTTCTCCATAAATCCCATAAACCAAATTCCGATAATACTACTACATTACGAAATTCTGATAAAACATTCGATCGTAATTGAATACAACTAATTATTAAATTACTTTGAATGCTGGAAGAAAACAGGATGGCAATCTCGGACATACATTTACATGCTCCCATTCAATACACTTGTAAATTAAAGAACTTCTCCAATTGTCTTAGCACCGACATGAGATTTAAGCAATTTTTCAATGCGTATCAATATCTTTGCTACATACATTTTCACCGATGAATCTTTAACTCCCTCTTCATCATTAATAACAGAAATACAAACACCTTCTGCAACAACTTGTTTTTGTATTACACAAAAATATACGTGAACACGACTTCCAATCTAGAAAAACAAAAACGTAGTCCTCGAATTAAATTTGAATAATTTAATTTTTATTTATAGTTATTCATAAATACTCACAGCGACCTTTAAATGAAAAATCATACCCTAACAGGCTGAAGAAATTCTAACACTCTTTTGATTCATAGGTCTTCGATCGACATTCTCCATCTATAATTTAATTTAAAAAAATCACATTTTCGATAGCATAAATATACAATAGTGTATATACAAGCACATCACGTCATCGTAATAGTACTCATGACATAACTCAAGTAAAGGTAAATGTAAAGTAAAAAAATAGTACTTGTTGTTCATCCCAATTAAGAAATATTTCTAATTCCTCGGGAAGTTGGTCCTCGCAAGGTAGATGCAGATGCAGATGCAGATGCATCTTGAATCTATACACATTTATATTATGTTAATATACTTTAAATTTTTGGAGTTAATGTCATAATTTTTTACCTTACCTGAGTATTATGTGACTTGCCCGAAGATATTGCAGGAAATTGACTTATTAACAATTCCAACTTCTTAGAGAGGTTATTAATCTTCTCCTTCTCGAGGATCGGAGCAACGACTCTTTCTCATAAATAAAATCTTCTTTCATTTTTTTTTTATTTTTTTCGAAATTTCTTCTTTGAAATCCTTCGTTCTTTCCGACTCCAATTTTTTAGATATTTCTATATTAAAAAATACTTAGGTCTTTCCATCCTACATGCCTTCTCCTCGAAGAAATTGTGCCTTGAGCCAATTGTTGCTTAAACTATTGCCATTTTGGAAGCTTGCATTCTTATAGACTAAACTAAGATGAACTCAATCTCGTTCATCCAGGACTTCAACTGCATTGTTGATTGGATTATTCAGGTCTTAATTGATAGCATTCGAGTTAAGGTATATATCGGACATTGTGGCCTACATAGAGGTTTAAATTTGTCAATCGAAACTCAAATTTTGCAGCTCGCAATCTTGCTTTGTGGGCAAAAGTTGAAGATTGGGAAGGAAATGTTTCTCCTAATGTAATCCCAATCTCTTGTATTTATAATGGAGGTACACACCACTTGTAGACTCCTCTTCTTGATGCTTTCTATTTAATCCTTTTCTTTTTATCAAAAAAGGAAAAAAAAAAAAACTAAATTATCCTTCATTACATGTAATAAATACATAGTTAATTGTAATTGATTTACTTGCCCCCTCAAATGGAAAATATTATGAGTAAAATCCAATTAACTTTTAAGACTTTTGTACAAACCCACATCACAAACTTAATTAGTGAAACCCCCTCAATTAAACATAATAAGACATAAGTACCCTTATTAATAGTTTTTTATAATAAATCAAATATTTAATCACGATATCTTTCCATAACCGTTTCCCTTTATTATAGGCGGACGTGATTTTCTTTGATATAATTACGTGAGTTCAGCCGAGATTAAGAGAGAATAGAGATTTCATCGGCGTTCAACCATTCTTTGTTCGTTGCCGGAGTTAAGCTGCGTTTGAAGGTTAGAGATTCTGATTTATTCTTGTTGGTTTTCGTAAATGGGAAACTGCGGTTGAAGGTTAGAGATGCTGCTTTATTTTTGTTGGTTTTCGTAAAGGGGCTGGGCTGTAGTGTGTGTATTCAGATATGTGTGTATGTAGAACCGAATTTTATTGTTTATTTTTGGGTCGTCTTAATTGGTGTAAAGGATTGTTACTGATTCAAAATTTTATTTCGTTTTTCACAGAGTCACGTTGTGACTACTCTGTAAATTATTTGTTCGTTTTGTGTTAATTGATATGCTAGTGTAATTTATTGTAATTTGTTTTTTGCGTTACTTGATATGTTAGTGTAAGTTTCAATGTTTTTGTTGTGGTCGAATTGAATTCAGATAATATTATGTGATTTGCATTTACAGAGTAGTGCAGATTTATTCATCAGACGTAGTCACATAGTAGTCGCATTCTCAATTTTCTTGTGTAGTGCTGCACAGCATGTCGTCAACCTTGATGATTGTGTTGAAGTATGGAGGCTCGTTTGGGGTGAAGATATGTCATGGTGATTTTGTGTATGAAGACCTCGTTGGCTTTGTCACCGATAAGTGGTGCAGTTTGAATGCGAGGGATGTATCGATGACTTACAGTGTTGATGGATATGGCGAGGGTATGCTTGGCGATAATGACGAGGTTTTGTATATGAAATCGTTGATTCGACAACTAGGTCTTGGCCGTGTCGAGGTAACCGTGAAGCGCAAAGACAACGTCTGTGCAGTAGCGTCGGCGAGGGCCCCGCAATCTAATACACAGAATTTTGGGGGGAATTATCTGATGAATGATATGGCGATCCGTTCAAATGGGAATTATCTGATGGATGACATGGGGGTTCGTTCAAATGGATTGGTAATTGATAATACACAGCTATTGAGCGCTAATTGGAGAAACCTTATAAGGGAAGTGGGGCAAGGGTTTCGAAATGGTGCTGTGGGTTTTCGAGATGCGTTACGGAAATATGCTGTTGAAGTTGGGTTTGAATTCAACTATGTTAAGAACGAGCCTACCAGGGTTACAGCAGAATGCAAATATAGGGTGGTAAAGAAGTGCATGTGGAGGATTCACGCATCGCTTCAGAAGTCAAATGGATTCTTCTATATTAGGACATTTGAGAAGCACCATACGTGTGGTGCTTCATTTGGTTCGTCGAGCAAAAATAGATTAACGTCTGACTTAATTTCGGGTTTGATTATGAATGTTGTTAGAATCAAACCTGAAATGGCCCCGAATGACGTCGTGCTCAATGTGAAGCTATATTACGGCATTGACATAAGCTATTTTGTTGCTTGGAAGGCACTTGCTGCGGGGAAGCATCATGTGTTTGGAGATGCTACGACGTCATACTCGTACTTGCCCTTGTATTTTGAAGAGCTTGGGCGTAGCAATCCGGGCAGCGTGTACCATCTTGATGTTGATCCAGTATCAATGAAGTTTAAGAGGTGTTTTTTTGCTTTCGAAGGGAGTTTGTCGGGGTTTAAGGCATGTCGCCCTATGTTGGCTCTTGATGGGACCTTTTTGTCTGGGAAACACTGGGGAATCCATGTAAGTGCGTTGGCGAAAGACAGTGAAAACGGTAAAGCCCAGTCTTGTGTTTTGTTTTAACATGTCTATATATGACTACAGTACTTATTCTAATTTTCCAATTGCTCAGGACTGTTCCCAGTCGCCTTTGGAATAGTGAACGAGGAGACTGATGACAACTGGGCGTATTTTCTACGACATTTAAAAACTGCTATTGGAACAGACCGTGTGCTGACATTCTTATCGGATCGTAACCATGGAATTTTGCGCGGTGTGAAGGAAATATTCCCTGATTGTGGACACATATTTTGCCTTGTCCACTTGCAGAACAATCTGCTGCACAAGTGTAGAGGCTGCTCGACTAATTTTCGAGAGGTCATTGTTGCCAAATTCAATGCTTGTGCATATGCAGCGACGAAGATTGAGTTCCATCAGAAATTGATTGAGTTGAAAGAATACGGAGGTGCAAAGGTAGATAATTTCATTGCTGACTTACCCTTTGCTAACTGGACATGTTCTTATTTTGTCGGAGATCGGCATAACGAGATGACCTCAAATGCTGCTGAGTCGTGGAACTCGAAGATCAAGGGTGCTCGTGATTTGCCTATCACGAATTTTATTGATTATATCAGGGGTGAAGTCATGATAAATATTAGCATAAGGGCTGAGGAAGGGGCGACGATGACAACGGAGCTTAGCTCAAAATTCCATGAGCAGGTGGATCAATTGGTTCAAGAAGGTAGAGTATGGGTAGCGAGGAAGTCGTCGGATCATATGTTCGAGGTTCTATGCGACCCAACCGCAGTTGTTGACATAAAAGAAAGAGTGTGTTCGTGCAGGATGTGGCAGATCACTGGATTGCCTTGTGCTCACGCTGCTTGTGTGTTGTTCAATAATACTAACGAGGGCTATAAATATGTTGACAAATATTACCGCAGTGAGGAGTACAGGGAGACTTACTCGCACCCAGTTGTGCCGTTTGTGCAACCTACGATCGACAATAACATGCCGATTGTTGGGCCCCCAGACCACCATGTTCGTAGAGGAAGACCTAAGTCAAAAAGAATACCATCGAAGGGAGAGAAGATCAAACGAAAGATTAAGGTGCAACCGAATTGGATACCACAACAAGAAGACGTGTTCGATGGCCATTATTGGGGGTTGACAGTATCGATTGTTTTTCATTTTTTAATTGTTTTTAAGGATTAAGTGTGGTTTTTTTTCTTCATGGATAAATTTCATTTTCACTGTTTTATTTTTGTTACACCAGAAGACATATATAGTACTTCAACGTGAAATTATTTTGCTTAATATTTTTATCTGATTTTTTTGATTGTTTTATATCCACATGTAATTTCATTACTAATGTTTCAAATTGTTTCGAGTGTTGTCATCTGGTAGGCATCTTTGTTAGAATTATTATTCAGTCATAGTCACATAGCAGTCATGTTGCCTATGTATTGTTCAGCCTATTTATTTGCTCACCGTAGGCGCATAACAGTCATATATGCTCATTCATCTGTTATTCAAAATGTATTCAACTAATAGTCACATTCGTGATGGGGTTTTGGTTATGTAAAGTAATTTTCCTTATACTGTATGTTGTTTCACACTTTCATGTTCTAATGACTTACAAGCATAGTCACGTAGTAGTCATATTCTTCACAGTATGTTAATAATTGTGATGTATATGCTAATTCCACTACTATGCACAACATAGTTACATGATTGTCATATTTCTCACTGCATGTACAGTTTACTAAACATAGTCATGTTTACATTCTACAGTAATATGATTGTTATGTAAATTATTATTTGTCTGAACAATAATTTAATTTAATGTCAATACTAAGATCATCGGAAATAATAAACATTCAGGTCTGTTTAATAATGTATAGAAAGAACACAAAAAAAAAAAAAAAAAAAACAATAAAACCAAAGCATGTTCTGGTCAACATATAAGTCAGCATAACATAAGTTAAATGAAATTATCGAAGAGTAACATAGAATAGAATAACATATTAGAGTTTGCAGTGTAAAAATGCTTCAACAATGGTCCTGCGCATATCTACGACACCTTCTTCTGCCTCTTCTATAATCATTTGTTGCTGCAGAAATGTCTCTTGGATGATGTACAAGATGATTATGCCACAATCGTTTGTTGCAGGCTTTTGTTGGGGTGAGTCGGCCACTGCATACAATGGTGCATTTTGTGGAATTGCGGATATACCCAATGCAGATGCGTTGAACTCAACAAGTTTTTTCTGTGTGTTGGAATAGCATGTCAATGTATATATATGGAATAGTGTTTACGGAAAAAAACCAAACAAATAAATAACGTACCATATCAGAGCCATCTTTCAAGTACTTGTCTGTTATTCCATCACGTGGGCGTAATGAGTTATAAACTCGCCATTGTTTTAGGTGGCAGTCCAATATTAGTACTGTCCAGTGGTCAGCACGAGTACCAGGGTTGTCAACAGACAGCAATGGGAATATTAAGTATCTGTGCTTGCCGATGTCCGCGGGTATATCAAAAGTTTTATCGTTTGTATGCCGCGACATAGTCTGCGATAATTGGTAATAAGTTACGTTTATATTTTTAAAACATGAAAATACAGGTGAAAGTAAAATATGCACCAGTAGCAAGCTGTTAAACACAAAAGTTGAGCCGGCAAGTTCATTTCCTTCGGCAGTCGTGTAACATCCGATATTTTGTTGGTGCATGAGTATTTTGCAGTAACCATCTATGACCTGAAAAGGTTAATGTGACTATTATAACATTTAATGTGACTATAAAATAAAATTTACTATGTACTGTAATAAAAGTTTACGTTGTTCGATGTCTGTTCGAGCCTGAGCAAGTGGAATATGTCAGATATAAGTATATGTGTAGTTCCATGCTTCCATATTGATTTGCTGCAATAATTTGTCAACACGAGGGAGATGGTTAGAGTGTACAAAACATACACTACATAAACATAGTGCAAAAAAAAAAATGATTAATGTCTAACTCTCCGTTCAAGAGTTCATCCGCCAGAGCATTAACCCTCTTTTGGTCACCATCACTCATCTCAGTATACGTCAGTTCGTGTTTGTGCCTCAGATCGCGGCGCGCTTTTTTTGTGCTACGAGGTGTTACAGTTGGCTTTTTGGATCTTGTACGGTTCCCTATAGCAGAGTTTGGATTCTTCGGGTTCTTTTCCTCACATATTTCGAAGTCTATTTTTTGAACTTCTATGACTGGTTTACGGTTGTCGAGTGCTCTGGAATATTGATCAATTATAGCCTCGAGTTCAGATATTTTTTCATCTCTTGCTTTGATGGTCGCCATATGTTTCTTTTCTGCTGATTTGAGTATTGTTTTTTCAGCTTATAGAAACAATATCTGAGCGACGGACTCACTCATATTTGTCAATTGCACATCTTCCATCAGCAATGGATGGGATTCTTCGCAGGCGGGATTGACTAAGTTTCGGGATTGGTGTTGTGCAGATTGTTCTGGTGTCGTATTTGCTAGCCTTTGGACGAGCGATTTGTTTGCTGCTTCGAGCTCTGCCAAACGCACATGTAGCTCGATGTTTTGCGCGTGTGAATCGTCAAGATCCTTATTTTTCTGGGCTATGGATGTTTGCGTTGGTGTCAGTATTTCAAACGATGGCAAATCGTTATTTCCAAGCTCTCGTTCCTCTTCAAGTTTTGCAAGTTTGTTTTGGAGTGCCCTTTTTTCATCGAGCAGCACCTGAGCTGTGTTACCTAGTAGCGTCATCCTCACCTGGACTTCCTCTAGTCGTTGGATTTCTGCTGCCATGCGTGAGTTTTCTGTTTTCAAAGTTGACAGTTCAGAGTTTTGCGCATTGATATGCTTCATGGCATCTGCTAGCTTCAGATTCACTTCGTCTACTTGCTTTGCTAGTATTATGACATGTTTTGTCTTCTCCTGACTGCTCGGTGAAGGTATAGCATTGAGTCTGCGAGTTGAAAAGATTAATCGATCAAAGATTGTGACTATGTAATATGACTACAAACAAAAATATACTTAAGAAGTCAGCACAATATGACTATACATATTTAAATAGTCATGTGAATATACACTACAGACCAAAAAGATAGCATTGAACATGAATATTTTGTCAAAATGCACATCTGATAATGGGGTGGGGGGGGAGGGGTGATGTGATGATTTAAGATGTATTTTTTTAAAAAGGCCCAAATATCCAAAAGACATGGGATTGCATTTTATATGTTGGCAATATGACTGTATATGACAATTTAAATGTACCTGTCCACACGTGACTGCAATGCTTTTTTCTGTGACTCGAGTCTTGCGATTGAACCCTTCAATACATATGCTTCGTTCGTTAGCTGAGTAACCTGATTTTGGAGGGATGATTCACGAGAATGGCATGCCTCGATTTCTTTTTTCAATTTTTCTACGTCTTGTTGCATTTCTCTCTACTGTTGCTTCAGCCATACGGATATAGGGACATCTATGTCAGGAGTAGAGTCGTCATCTGCTTCACTATCAGCAACAATCCTTTCCCTGATTTTGGTGGCATCTTGCGCGAATGGATCAGTGCTATAGTCACCTTCGGTGCACTTTTGGTTGGCGATTTCGTGAAGTGCAGAAGAAGCCATGGCTTCTATTTCTTCGCTGTCTGTACTGTCGTCATATGTATCATCGGCTTCATCGTCACTGCTCTCTTCCATGGCTAAATGCCCGGTTAGGATTTGACTTTCTGTATGTGTTGGCACCAAAGGTTGGTCATTCACATCCTCGGGTTGAATGTCTCGTATGGCCGTAGTTGATATAACATTAGCCAGCTCCTGTATTACCCAACGCCGGAATCGAGAGAATGCATTTTCTGTGACAGGCTGAACAAGTTTGGTTCGCTCGCATATGAAATACTGCAGTTTTAAAAAACAACGGGAATAATAAAAAAAATTTAGTTAGTAAATCATGAGTGTCTAACATTTGATGAAAGATTGAAGTATAAGATTCTAACCAGGATTAGTGGAATACAACCCTTTGTTTTGTCGAGTGCCTTTGCAACGTGTATTTGATTCTGAAGGAACTCTGTTATACCCATTGGCCAGTTGTAAGCCATCGTTTGATCGATGTCTCGAACGTACTTGAACATCCACCATGCAACTATTTCGGCAGATGTGTTGAAGAAAACTGTAGACATGAGGAGCAAAATTATTAGGCGGACAACATCTTCAACGTCGACCAAAGACTCACCCTGCAAGCACTCAAGCAGCTTCACTTTTAACTCTGTCTGATAACACACGCTATCTTCTGCGAACCGTCGAAACGCCAGGCCGTCTCTCGGTTTAAATGACTTTGTAAAATCAATCCTGCGAATGCCGATAGGTATCCCAAATATAAGTTGGCAATCATTGGGTGTGATTCTGAGCGACTTCCCACCAAGTGAGTATGTCCGCGTTGATTTGTCGTATGTCCACAGGATTGTTAGGGCTGTAATTTGAGACCCAATCACACTGTCCTTTGTGATCTTGTGTTTTGCAAACGGGAGTACGAAGTTGTAGAAGGGTGTACGCCGTAAGCATTCGTAATGTGCTGTTTCAAGTGTTACATCCTCGAAGAATGAAACAATTGACTTCAAACTCCCTCTGAATTGTGAGGTCCACGTACCATGGTCAAGCACCTGACGTGCCATTTTTCGTGTTTGATCTGTAAAATTTAAATTTTATGTCAGTTACAAACTAATCAATAATATGCATGACTACATATATTCATCAATATTTTTTACATGTTTCGAGTAATGTAACACACATGAAGCGATAAACAAATTATTCTACTAATATGACTACAGAACATTACTAACGCATTACACCATTGCAATTACAGGATTTTATTACATGATCAAACCAGATCACTTTCCCACTGGAAAAGTTAAAAATTCACACGATGCTAATGCCGATTGGAAAGACCGATTGGAAGAGAGGATTTTGTACCAAATATCTTCGATTTTGGAATATGACTACAGAACATTACTAAAGCATTACACCATTGCAATTACAGGGTTTTATTACAGGATCAAACCAGGTCACATTCCCAATCACTACACCATGACTCCATATGACTACACCACAAACAACTATTGCTGGGATATGATACATCAATGCACACAAAAAAGGTTAAACTGGAACGGATACCAAACATGACTGCTGCCCCCAAAACTTTGTTTATACAATGGTAAATCCACTATAAAACAACAAATGGTTCTAATTTGCATCAACACGTAGTCATGTACAAATCTTCATATCAACATGACTACAGAACATTACTAAAGCATTACACCATTGCAATTACAGGGTTTTATCACAGGATCAAACCAGGTCACATTCCCAATGAAAAAGTTAAAAATTCATACCATGCTAATGTGATAATGTGGCTTCATAAGTACATAACTACATATTCAGGCCTATTCACATTTAGTCATGATGGTATTGTGGTTATTTAACTACATAATCAGAAATTGTTTTGTAATTAACACTTTACCAACTCAGTTAACATTATTCATCTATATCAGTGGAGGTGATTAAACACTAGTCTACAACATGACTCCATATGACTACACTACAAACAACATGACTACATAAAAATATTAATATCAACATGACTACAGAACATTACTAAAGCATTACACCATTGCAATTACAGGGTTTTATCACAGGATCAAACCAGGTCACATTCCCAATGAAAAATTTAAAAATTCATACCATGCTAATGTGATAATGTGTGGCTTCATAAGTACATAACTACATATTCAGGCCTATTCACATATAGTCATGATGGTATTGTGGTTATTTAACTACATAATCAGAAATTGTTTTGTAATTAACACTTTACCAACTCAGTTAACATTATTCATCTATATCAGTGGAGGTGATTAAACACTAGTCTACAACATGACTCCATATGACTACACCACAAACAACATGACTACATAAAAATATTAATATCAACATGACTACATAAAAATATTACAACAATACACTAATTTAGTTACACTTTGTAATAACACAATCAAATCAGAGCATATTTATACTGCAAAACTTAACAATTAATAACACCCATTAATTCAATGTGTATGTAACATAGTCATATATAGTCACGATAGTAACATGAATGCTGCCCCATTAGTCATGTTTATGCAACCATAAATCACCCTCCAAAAACACCTAAAGTGAAATTAAATTGGATCTACGGGGCAAAAAAAATTATTTTTTCAAAATTCCAGTTTGTACAAAAAATGATTCGCAAAGAAATAAGAATTAGGTGGACAGACTTACCGGCATCAAGATGCATAATGTCATTAGGATTGGGTCTTCGTTTCCGCTTCTGTGACGCTTGCTTCTTCATTGCAGAAACCAAACCAGATTCCAATGTGACTACGCAACTCAAGTTCACTGGTTTGTGACTACCAAACACAACTACTGCAGAACGACTATTAATGGGAAAAGTGTGTGGAAGATTTTGTACCAAACATATTCGATTTTGGAATGTGACTGCAGATTGGAGGAGAGGATTTTGATTTTTTTGAGGTTTTTGATTTGGGGGAAAACCAAATCTCTGTGTTATTGAAGACGATGCTGCGGTTTTCGTTTTCTGTTTTTTTTTATTTGTTTTATTTAGTAGCAGTTTTATTAGGGATGGTAAATAATTAAAACTAATTAGCAGGATTAGGTGCCTAATTAATAGGGATTTGAAAATAATTGGATTAATATAAAAAATATAAACGTGACTTACTAGAGGGGTAAAAATGAAATTAGATATTCTAGGGGGTTTTCACAAAGAAAGATTTATGCTATGGGCATATCACTAGTTTTTATCTATAGGAGGGGTGTATTGCTAATGACCCCTTACTTGTTAACTCATTGCAAAAGGCAAGAATAACATTTGAAGCTTATTGTAGAAAACGAGTTCTTGCACATTATTTTTTTTCCCTATAATTTTCAATAAATAAAACTAAGTTAGGGTTTAAAATGATTAAATAGTTTTTCGTTAAACTATATTATCTATGAAAGTTTGAAAATAACTCGAATGATCTATACAAAAATGAGGACTGCTATCGTTCAATCATCGCTCGCTTGTCATTAAATTTCTTCGACATTGCTATTTGCTACTAATCGGCTTTGAAGGAGAACGTTCACCGTGTAATGGACTTGAAAAATGTCAAAATTAAGTTATTTTTTTGGACCTTCTAACTTGTGCTTATTTGACCAAAAAAATAAAAAATAAAATAAAATGAAACTAAGAGCTATTTAATTGGAAGGAAAAGAAAAAGAATAAACCATATAATATAAAAGCCGACTCGAAATTCCAAAACCGGCTTTGCTTCTTTGGGTGGGTTATTTTATCGAACACCATCCGAGCATTCTCAGCACCCATCAATTTCACACCATTCGGCCGCGCACGGCGGACGATCACGGTGAAGCTGGCGGTTTTGTTTCAGTTCGAATCAAACAGCAACTCGCGCCGTATATATAGCTATGGGTATATTCAGGGGCAGCTTCCCTTTCATAGCTGGATCAGTGTGCGGAATATACATAGCTCAGAATTACAACCTCCCTAACATGAAGAAGGTCGTCTACGAAGCCCTCTTCACCGCCAAACAAGTCGAAGAGAAGTACCGCAAGCCTAAGAAGCCTGGCGACGACGTCGTTTGAGCACTTTTCTCAATTTCGGCGGAATTAAGTTTCAGGTTTTCCCCCCTGCAAATTTCTCTCCTTTTTTTTTTTTTTTTAATCTGCCCCTGAAATTCATTATGGTATTATGCGTTTAATAGAGATAGTTTGATTTGAATTGTATGAATCGGATTGATAGAATTAATTGATCAGCTGTGGTTTATCGAGGGGTTTTCATTTTTGTTTGATGTGATACAGAATCGAAATTTTGTTTGAATTTTTTGGGGTAATTAATTCGAGCTAGGGTATGTTCTTCTCTGTGTGGAATTAGGAGCTGAGATATCCGTTTTATCCTCTCGTCGAAATCAGCATTTGTTCGTTTTTCGTCAGCTTGATGTTACGAAATTTATTCATCTTACGGCAGTCGGGGTAGTTCATTAGTGTTTCTTTCTTTTCTTTTTTGCCCTTAAAGTTTTGATGGTTTAACATACATATAGATAGATTCGATTGTATGTATTGGATCGATATAATAATTGATCAGCTAAGTGTAACTGGTTTATTGAGGGATTTGACTGACGATTAACTTAATTTAGAGTTTGCTGATCTCGTTTGTGTGTTTGGTGTGCGACTGAGTTCGAAATTTGTGTAAATTTTAGATGCGATTATTGGAGCTATCAACCATGAGAGTGTAGATTAGCATCTTTTCCAATGTCGTCTCGGATTTCAATTTTTGTACCCTCGTCGAAATCTCTCTTTGTTCAGTTTTTGTCTGCTTAATCTTGTCAATAAAATTCATCCATCTTACGCCAGTCGTCATAGTTCATCGATGGTTTACTTTTTCTCGTTGAAGATGTAATAATGGACAAATTCTTTTACGCTTCTTTGTAGTAAGGCAATATATTTCAGTCTTAGTCTCTTTCTGTTCTTTATTTACGATCTGGAGAGTTAAGATACGAAGCAACTTGCTTATTTGCAGTAGTTCTATTCTGTTCTTGATGAGCTTCAGCGTGTATTAAGATTCGTGTATCTTTCATCTCGAATTTTCTGAAAATTGACTTCGATGGATTTTTAACAGTTTGCAAAAGGATTCATTATCTCAAAGACGCATACCTGGAGTAATGTGAGGACCGGACGGACTGCCACATGTTTAACTGACCGTTTGTTGACGGTACGATTTTGATAATTAATTGTTGATCTGCTTAGTGTAAAAGACGATCCTTTCTGAAGATTGACCATGTTGATATTATAAACTAGATATATATTGATCGAGTTTTAAGCGTGATGATCTTTGTGTATACATTGTTCGTTCGGTACTTGAGAAACAAGATAGTGACAGAACCACTCTCAATTATTCCATGTTGTTTCCTTACTGCATAGTGCATACAATATATACATGCTACTTGTTGATGGTTGGTTTCAAATTTGTGTTCAAGAAAATGCATTTGTAATGTGTGTGTGTGTGTGTGTATATATATACACCATTTTTTTGTGCCAGAAACAGAGTAGAGATCAGAAAATATCTGCATAGCCATTTCATGTGGTCTTTCCTAGGGGACAATGCAGCTATTGTCCCATGTAAGAACTTATGTTTACATGTAATAAAAGAAACAAAACAAACTAGGGAATAACCATATCTTCCCCTTGTCACAATCTCCAAATCAACATCTCCTCGAAATGCAAAACAAAATCTTTCCAACTTATCTCGAACCCAAAAATATCTACCGTAACACACAAAACAAGAAATCTCGAAAACCGGAAAGCCAAAACGCCATTCAATATCAAATCATACATCATGTACATCGTGGGTTGTTCTAGAAACTTCTTCCGAACCCGACCCTCGAATCTTCTCCGCCACCTCAGCCACAACAAGCCTCGTCAGAAGCAATCCAGCTATTAGGGCAGCAACCATAAGCATAGTAAACACTCCACTCCAGCTCTTAGCCGAGATATAGCCGGTTAATAGCGGTCCAATGGCAGCTCCAATCGAGCCAGTTCCATCAATTATAGCAGTAACAGTTGCCAAAGCTCGTGCGTTGCCCTTCAACGAGCTATGTGTTCCTAGGTCAGCTGAAACTGCGGTTGTAATAAGAGCGTAGGGCCCGTTCACGAATACTCCCGTTATAATCATGAGTATGATGTTTATGGTCATGGATATATGGCCATAGCTTCTGTACAAGAAGAGAGCTGGTATAGAGCAGTACATGAAGCTTGCAGCTGTTATCGCTCTAGCGTCCAAACGGTCGGAGATGTGTCCAGCTAGGATTCCTCCGACCACACCTCCCACATCAAATAGTGTCGACAAGTTTCCGGATTCTTCATCTGTTAAGTACCTCCCGTTTATAGCTGCCGACGGAAGTTACGAACGTATAAGAAGCACATAAACAATTATATGATTAAAAAAACTTGTAAAAATATGTACCTGTGTGGCTTATGTAGAAAGGAAGCCAGTATAAGAATGTATAGGCCACCAATTTAGCGAAGAAAAGGCACAACGCAAAAGGGGCAACCCCGGGAATCTTCCACGCCTTTAGAAACCCGACGGGTTCGTGTCGCACTGATTTTTGTTTCATCAAAGGTTCTCTACTCATTTCCTCCCATGTTTTCTTTGGGTGAACGTCGTCTAAAACGGCGTCCACAGATTCCGGAGTCACCGGTAACAAAAGGAACACCACCAACGCGACCAAAATAATAAGCAAACCCGGAACAAACATCGACCAACCCCATCCATACTTCAATAGAATCGAAGCAGCAATAGAACCGATAATATTACCGAAAGATGTATGAGAGTTCCAAACGCCCATTATAAGTCCTCTCTTCTTTTTCCCGAACCAATTACCAACAACCGCAATAACCGACGGCCAACCGGTGGATTGGAACAATCCAGCAAACATTTGAACTATCAAATAGTAATAGAAGATATGAATGTTTGCCCAATACCCGATCCCGAACAGAGCGGTGAAAATTCCCGTCCCGACCATTCCTATGGTGAGGAATACTCGAAGATCCATTCTATCTCCAATATGGCCCGAAAAATACATTCCCACTGCGTAAACAAAAAGGAAAGACACGTCGAGCTCACCGAGCAATGCCGTTCCATCTGGACCGTTAAAAGGTATCCAGCCTTTCCTCTTCAGTGATGGATGGTCAGGATTTGCGCGTCTCGTATATAGGTTCGATGATTGGGGGTCGAGGGCACTCTTGACGATGCTCGTGGTTTTTCGAGTGGTGTGGTAGGATAGGTAGGCGAAAAATGTTATCGATAAGACAATGGCTTGATATGTCTTGTAAGAAATTGGAGAACCTCTTTTGTACTCGATGTACCGGATTCCGAGAGGCTTTACTTCCGCCTCCGGGGCTTCGTCTTCCATCGAAGCCATGAATTGCTTGTGAAGCAAGTTTCTCTGTAAATAAAACAAATAACCATGAATTAGATTATAAAGTGAAGAAAGCATCAAACAGTACAGTTGTAGCTAAAGAAAATATTTACCTTTTATTTTTTATTTGTTTAAAGAACAAAGAATTGTCTGATAAAGGTAGTTCCTTGATCAGCTATTTAAAGGTGATGCTTGTAGAAAGGGTCAGTTGTGGATTTCCAGAATTGTCCCTCTCAAATTTGACTTAGATGACTCGATTGACATATTTGCCCTCAGAGGTGTTTTTTTTTTTTTAATTCATGTTTTTGACTTGGATATTATATATAAATAAAGTTATGAACAACCATATCCACAAACCTATAATAATGCTAATATGTTTTTATTGTTGAAAATTTCCTAAATATTCCTTAAAGTGCAAAAATGAATAAAGGAATAAATACTTTTATCAGGAGTATTTACTTATATATTTCACTATGATTACATATAATATTATATATAAGTAAATACTATGATTACATATATATATATATATATATATATATATTTGATCTTGTATAATTTGGGAAGAAAAAGAAATTCACAGACATGCTACAATTGTCAAAGAATGATGTTATTAAATATTGTTGACAAATGCTTTTGGAGTATCTTTTAAGAATATGCTTTTATTTATCCTAAAAGATGTGATAACATGATATAGTTAGATTGTGTCATCAGCTTCAATTGTATAGAGTATGTATTCATACTGCCAGCTTAGCTCCAAATCAACATTATATATTTATATGATATCGTGTTTCTTTATATATATAAAAAGGCAGCGACTATTTGCAAGACGAAAATTACTTAGGGCAAGACCAAATTAATTTTTTTTATTAAATTCAGTATAAAAAGACTATAATAACCTTAATAAAATACAAACAAAAAAAAAAATTATTTTATTAATTTCCTTTTGCAAGACCAATTTAAAAAAGAAAAATTAATAAAAAAGGAAAGAAAAAAGAAATTGAATTGAGAATTGAAAAACGAGGAGGGAAGAAGGGAAGAAGAAAACAAAAAAAATCATCGTCGCCCCGTCGCCGTCGCCCCGTCGTCGTCGCCCCGTCGCCGTCGCCGTCGCCCCGTCGCCGTCGCCGTCGCCCCGTCGCCGTCGCCGTTGAAGTCCACCACCTCCCCGTCGCCGTTGAAGTCCGTTGTCGAAATATCCGCAAAAAAATCGACATGTACAGGTCGAAATATCCGCTTAATATCGACACCATAATGTCGAAAATTTCAATATAATTCGACAGTTAAGGAGTGTCGAATTATTTTGAAATTTTCGACACTACTGTGTCGATATAAAGCGGATATTTCGACACTACTGTGTCGATATAAAGCGGATATTTCGACCTGTACATGTCGAATTTTTTGTCCGTGAAATATTTCTTACCTCTTTGTGTTCTTCGACCTTAGAATCCTCCATATTTATGTCTTGTGTATCCATAATGTCCTTCTTTTCAAGTTTTAGTAAGATTTGAGGGTTTTATGTGATAAGGGTTTTGGAGAATATGGAAGATTTTTTTGTGGAAAAAAATGTGTAAAATGAAGGTGAAGAAGAAGATGTTGGTGTTTTGTTGGGGGAGTGAGTTCCCTCTCTTTTTTCCTTTTTTTTTTATTCTTTTTTTTGTATATTTTTTTTTTTGGTCTTGCAATAGCAATTAGCTTAATTTAAATTAATAATATCTAAATTATTATTGAGGTTATATTTGTAATTTCCAGTCTTGATCTTAGTAAATTTATTTATATTTTGGTCTTGCATGAAGTAAGGTCTTGAACTTAGTAATTTTCGTCTTGCAAATATCTGCAGCCATATAAAAATAATAAATTCTTTTGTAGGTTAGGATCATTGAACATCTCATCGAAACACGACCTCGATCGATGTACCGCGGCCAAATGTTAACTTAATTTCAAAACACTTGATGGCCCTCCAAGAAGGGTCGTTCAATAAAGGGACAAGGTTGAAAGGTATTACCATTTACTAGGGCTGGCAATCGGGCCATGTGAGCCGAGCTTGGGTCGGCTCAAGCTCACATACCATCAGACTTCGTTCACATACCATCGGGTCTCATTGTTATAGGCTCAAGCTCGGCTCATGTATTTTTTCGAATTTCGGGTTTATATCGGCCCCATTACGATATAATTGTAATGAGTAAAAAAAATTATAAAAACATGTAATAAACAAGATTTACCTTCATTAAAGCCAAAACTTAAACGATATTTGCAAGTTATTAGAAAAACTTAAAAACAAGACCAAAAGAAGTATAAAGATTAGTTACTCTTGTTATTGGAAATGTTTTATATTCTCAAATCTCGGTGATAAATTTCAGCAATTAGATATCGATGTATTTTTTGCATTTGATCCATATTTTACTTATTGTCACCGCCACCGCCATTGCTACCACTTAATTCATTTTATTTTGCAAAATAAAATAATTTTATACGGTCGTAACTTGTATAGTTGTATGTTGTCATAGCATTACAATAATAAATATATTATATATTTTATTATTAACCTAATCGGTCGGGCCTTATTCTGGTTGAGCCATAGTAGGCTCAAACTCGGCTCATAAATAAGTCGGGTTTAATAAAATGGCTCAAGCTCGGCCCGGCGCACCAAAAAGTAGGCTCGGCTCAATTGCCGGTCCTGCCATTTACCAAGAAATGGAACCACGGTTTCTTGAATTATACACATTAATAGAGTTAATTATCTGAATAGGGTTAACACATTAATAGAGTTAATTATCTGAATAGGGTTATTATACACGAGATGTAGGTATACCAATGCACCTATATAGTTGGCTGCAAGTTCCTTCATTACCCAAAAAAAAAAAAATCTGAATAAAGAAAAAGTTAGAAAGACAATTTTTGAAACGATTATATTCGAGTAGAGATTAATTTTGAAGAAATTGCTAAAATTATGTCCACATTTGAATTCCGTCGTTCGGATTCGGGTACATAACATCCAGACTCAATCGCTTCCATGTGTTTGGGGTGCGACGCCTAGGGGATGCCTGAAAATTAAGTTTTTTGTTGCGGCGTTGCTCGAGTTGACAGGTTTTTGGGCGGCTAAATGCGGAAGAATGTCAAGCTTTTTCGGCTCTTTGAACTTCAACATTCTAAGCTTCAGGGATCGAGGACGGATGTGGTGGAAGATGATAGCATGACAGTGATCAACGCTCTCGAAGTCAATGTTGCTTCTTAGTTCGTTTAATTCTTGCAATTTTTCTTTTATTAGACTTTCCGGTTACGCATTACCTTGGCTCATTGCCAAGCTACTCGATTTGATTTAAGTTGTACCGAAGGATCTATCCTTTGGCATTGATTAAAGTGTAAGATCTCGTAAGCGCAACAAACCCGATAAAGATAGCTTAATTAAATCCTCAATAGAAGATAAAAACATCAAACTTCATTTAACAAAAGCTTTCATTTCATCAACTAAAAAAGACTAACCATCTAAAACAAAAAAAGGCTCCAACTTCAAAAAACCAAACCATTCATTCACTCAACATTGACATGGAAAACATCAGTCCTCTCTTCTTCCTTAATCTTGGGCACAAACACTTTCAGAACGCCGTTTTTAATCTCCGCCTTAATCTCACTGGTCTTGTACAGTTTCTCCGGCAGATCGATCCTGCTAGTGTACCTCCTTCCGCCGCCTTCCTCCTCCTCGAATTCCTTCTTGCCCTCGCCTCTGATTACCAGTGTGTTCTGCTCCACCGACACTTTCACATCTTCTTTGCCGAATCCCGGCATATCCATACGCAGATGGAGACCTTCGGCGGTTTCTCTGGCATCCCAGTTCCGGCGAATGCTCGTAGTCACAGGCGATTCCATGAATTTATCCATCATGTTCAGAATTTGGCTTAGGCTGCTTCTTGTGGGGAAAGGACCAAATGCATCTGCATTTACACAGAATTCAGAATTGTATTTTGCTAATTAAGTGACTAATTAAGTGATTAATTAAGCGAAAACACTTCAATTAGCGTATTCATCGGAGATTCGGAAATCGTGTTAGTTAAGGATCAAAATCGTCGAAACAAATTGGGGGAAAAACAGAGGTTTATTGCAGAATTGCACGATACAAACCCTACGGCTGACTGAATTAACATGCGGAGATTTATAAATTAAAAAAAAAAAAAAAAAAAATTGAGTGAGTGAGTGAAGAGGAGAGAAAGAGTACCGGAGAAGGGGGAGAAGATGCGGCGATCGGGGCGGCGATCGACGTCGACGTCGCGGTCGTCGCTCTCGTACTCGCGGACGGCGTTGGTGTTGAAGCGGCGGTAGGAAGCCGGCTGAGACACGGCGGCGGCGGCCGATGGACGGAGTGACCTGGAGATGAGGTTGGATGACGAGATCAGCCTCTTCAGAGCGAGAGAAGACGCCATTGTAGGTGATGAGATATTTTTGGTTGAAAGCTTGGAGAAGACGAAAAGTAGAGTGAGGTTTTGTGAGGGTTTTACGATAACTGAGAGCACGTGATATGCAGGTGAGTGAGGATCAGCTGAATTTATAGTGAGAGGAGAGAGAGAGAGAGAGAGAGTGTGTAGAAGGTGCGAGAGTGGGGATTAGGATTTTCGAGAAGGTTCGCGACAAAACGATAAACTGAAGTCATGCTTTGGGCCAAGTACGGAAACATTGGGCCTGTAATTGTGACTCGATTTGTATTCAGAATAAGTTGTTCTAGTGACCAGTGTAAGTCAATATCTCGATATTTATCACGATACGATATAGTTTCTATAGAAATGATATAATTCGGCACCTGTATTGTTTGTGATCAAATACCGCAAATATCGTTCGATATTGCGAAACGATACGATATGTGCGACACTTGTTTTGGAGATGATTTTGTCGATTTTCAACACAATCTGGTAGGGGTGGTTTGGTCGTTGTTCAACATATTGGGGCGTTTTGTGTGATTTTCAACATATTTTTTAGTAACATCTGTGTGTTTTTTATTTATTTTTTTAACTTTTTTTGTTTCTTTTATTAAGGAAAAGCGAAAGAAACGCTTTAGATAAATTTATTTTTTCTCCAAATAAAAACCAATAAATTTGTTATTTTCTTTTCTTTTTGAGTCCAAAACCAACAAATTTTGTTGAACGTCACATAAATCAAAAGCAATTCATATTAGCAAATGTAATAAAATCGACAATAGAATTTTTAAAAATTATGTCGTTTGTCTTAGTTAATAATTTAATATTGAAACTTTAATTTAAATGCATTTTGAATGAATGGTTTGACTTTAAAATATTATATTTTGCATATTTATTGCATTTTTATTATATGATATATATTTTGTACTATTTTTAATAGTTAGTAAAATATATTACGATACGATAAATGATGTGATACGGTATATGGAAGAAAACCATACACAATATATTTCCGATATGATAACCATGCTAGTGACTAACCTGGCTTTTAATCATATTAACATTCTCATTATCTTTAGTTCTCTATAAAGAATTTTTTTTTGTTAAAGTTTTCATATTTTCCAAAAAATAATTTCGAAAACTTGTCTAACTACCCTTTTAATATCTCAAGACTAAAAATGAATCTTCTAACGAGAGTATCAAAATGGGTAACTACTTTGATATTTCATTCATTTGTATGCAAAAATATTTTTGAAAATTGAGTTATCAAAAAATTAACCATCTAAACATCCAATCACAAACCGACATGTTACAATTACAAAAAATAAAAATAAACCAATGACTTCTAATTGATAATTAATCTAATAACCATGGTTAGGCAACAGCTTGGTCAACATAACCCACCGGAGCCGTAGCAAAAGTGAGGCTCTTCGTAAGGCAATTGTGATTTGCTTGTTGACTCGAACAATTGTAGATCTATCCATGACCAAAATGAAACTTTAGCGAAACTAATATTAAATTTATCGAATAATTTCGTTGTAACTATATCGTAGGCCTGAATTAATTCGAATAATGTCAATCCAAAAATGTTATTAGTCGTCATAGATAAATTAGCCAAACAAAACTAATAAACAACTGAACCAACCAACCCAATGCTATTAAAATTTTGTGAAACGAGTGATTTTCGTTACCGTCAGTCATAGTGCAACCAAAACTTCCGACTGGCGCCGCCATTAACACATGGCCAACAATATGTTACAGTAGAGACTGAGTAGAGTTGTTTTGATCGATCACAAACTCGTCCTAATTTTTACTGCAAGAAATATTCCTAACGCAAAAAAAAACATATAAAAAAATCAACTACTTCATACAACATCGATTATAATGAGTTGATTTATTTCTTTCAATATTTTTTTTTTCGACTACAAACAAATTTACTTGCACCACTGTGTCCAAGACCACCACACCTTCAAATTACGAGAAAAGAAAAGTTACCGGAACATCATCCAGCAATCTTGAAATATGACCCTTATGCGGGGTAAGTTTCATTTTTTTTCTTTTCTAATTTTCCCAAAACTGGGTGCGATGCTCCACTGCTGATCGAGACCTGAATAATAGCTTCAAGGAACAAAGGAAGAAGAATGCGACAATTTTTTGTCATACTCTCAACACCAGAACAAGGAAACTATTTGATTCCGACCTATATCTATTTCACATAAATCCCGATTCAAACTACAATAGAATTTTAACTGTGACAGTTGTAAGACTAGGTACTAAACTTGCTATAATTTCATTATTTATAGTCATGATACATGCATAGATTAAATTCTCTGTCCATTAGAGATGAAAAAACAAATCAGGTAAGAAAGATTTACCCCCACCGATCAACAGCTTCACGGCATATCTACATGAGATCTTATTTCTGTATTTACTCACTTCCCCAAATAAGCAACAATCACAAGCAAGAATTCACATTTGCACGACCTGAGTTACCAAAGAGAGAAGGGGAAAACAGATTCGCGCGAACAAACCAAATTCTAGAGTACCAAGAAGGATGAGAAACCGACTTTTGAGCCATTCAAATTTCAAACAGTCGAAACCAAAACTTTGAATAGACGATAAGTTACCTACCTCAATCTTTTCTCCTGTAATAATATTGGTGATAGGAGATGGTATAGTAGTAGTAGTCTCAATACAGCTGTGAGAACAGAAAACCAACTTTTACTCAACTTAATGACAACACAACTTTTTCAAGACTCCAAAATCACATACATTATAAACTTAATGGTTTACGAGAAAGTGTCTACCTCTTCAGAATTCAGATATATTTCTACACATTCCTCTCTCTCTCTATTTAGGGGCGAATTGGACTCCTCGATGACCTCCTTCGACTATTATGCCTGTGAGGAGAGCGTGACCTGCTTCTTTCACGTTCTCTGTATCTATCCCTACTGCCTTCTCTTCCATTACTCGAACCGCTGTTTCTCCTATCTGCTCCTCTTCCCAATTCTCGGCTCCCTCTACCATTCCTTTCGCGAGATCTGCCATGATCACGATACCTGTCCCTGTCAGCCGAATCGCTTCTCCTGTTTCTGCTCTCGAGCTCTTTTTCTCGCAGCTTCCTTCGCTCTTCGGCTTCTTTCTCCCTAGCCAATCTTTCATCCTCTCTTGCCTTCTCCTTAGCTTCCTGCAAATTGTATATATTATCAAAACCCCATTTGTGTATATCGATGTGACTGATAAGACTCGTTGAATTGATTAGAATTACATTGTTCATGTTGATTTAATATGTGATTGCGCTGTTCTTGTATTGGAATATTCATAAATAATTTGATAGGGGTTGAGTTCTGGACTAAGAATCCTTCATATGCCTGATTAAAAATCCGGGCCCATTTCTTATCATGATCTTGAAACCTAACAAAGCTTGATTCTATTGTCTATCATCCTAATAATAATTACCAAAAAGCAAATCAAAATAAAGATGCAACTTTTTTTGAACGATACCTTGTACTCGGCCAGAAATTCCCGGACCATGCCATAACCCATATGCTGCTTCCCAGTTACATGTGACTGAGTTCTCTCTGCAGCATCATTCGCTACTAAAAACGAACCACATATTTCACATAGTGCCATTTTTTTCTCCTGTGCAACCAGCAACAGTTTATCCGGCTGTGGTGGCTGAGTTAAGGCTGTCTTCTCAATATTAAGAAGTTCCACCTGAAAAACAAAGCGGCCATACTCAGGTACAGTTAACAGTTTAGTATAATTCAAAACCATTACTGAGTGAACAGATAAAAAACAAACCTTCCGCATAAGTGCCTCCGCTTCATCGACCTTTCCTGCTTCACCAAGAGACTCAACTTGCTCAAGTAGGTTCTTTATCTTCTCCTCCAGCACTGACAACTGCTCGGCCTTTTCAGCTGAAATTGGAGGGGGAGGGGGAACTTCGACATCTTGTGCAAGGCGCTCACGGCCACGCCTAACTCTTCGATCTAAATCTGAAACCTGAAAAAAGAACATTGTGTGTGTATTGTTGGACAATTTTTTTTATTAACTGAAAAAATTAACTTAATACTGCTTGAAGATGAAAACTTACCAGCCTTTCACAGAACTGAGATAATTCAGCTTCAAACTTAGGAACATATGAATCATGCCTGGGGGACTCCTCAAAACTACAGAGAGAAACAACACAATGTCAATAAATTTTGAAATGAGCTTAGATATGTATGATACTAATATACCGATTTTTCAGGGTCTCAAGTTAATGTACTTGGTACTCTCAGATCACAACTGTTAAGTTATCAAATGGCTTAAAAAAGAACTGAAAAAAGTCCTTTCTGAATATTATATGACGGCCATCTAGACTAGAAGTTAAGAATGGCACAAAAGGGAAAGAGGGATGCAGCATGTAAGATGTAGGGGAATACTCAAAACTAAACACAGAAACATCTAAACAGCTTGCCAAATTTGATATGTTTCAACATATATAAAGCTTCTCCTGAGTAAGTAACACATGTTCCCACATAAACAAAATATATCCTAACATAAATAATTTATAACGCAACATAAATAAATCCTAGTACAATTCTAATCAAAGCACAAATGCTTCAAAATAAGAATGATGTCGGTAAAATCAAGGATTTTACTAAAATTTGAAGGATTCTAAACTTGGATCGGAACTGAACTAGAATGAAGTTTTTCGGCCGGACCCAATTGTTTTTCTTCATGTAACAATCAATGATGAAATCTAAAAATACTGGTGAAGGGAAGGCAAAATGGCACAAACGAGAATGCAGATTGGAATCAACTATCAACTTGAAGTTGATGGTAGTTCATCAGTTCTTTAACCCTTTAACTTATGTTCGGATGTTTTACTTAAGTTGAGACATGTTTTATTTATGTCCCGACATGTTTTATATATGTTGAAAAACGTTATATCAGGGTACGTAAAATTGTACGATTTAACAATCAAGAATGTACGATTCATTTTTTTTATTTACTTTAAATATCAATTTTGACTACCATAAATGGCATCATAAATCTTATGCCAAAAGATATTCTTCATTGAATCTTATCTTTATATGCATGCAATGATGAAAGGGAACAGGAACAACAAATGGGAGTTCTAAAATAACGTCATCACAATACGATCATATATTATAATCAGCTCTACAGAGTTTCTAATACTAACTTGCATCGAAGCTCTTAAAACATGGGGTACATGCCATTTTGGAGAATCAATATGAAGAGATTAAAATGTTACTAAAGCATGTAAATTGAGGCGCTTGAATAGCAAAATTATCATGGATCATGTAATTTTTTGCCTAAAAGTTATCATAAACCATTGCAAGTCCCAAGTTAGGCATCTATAGAAGGAATGCTAATCGAAAAGACAGAAATGCGGGATAAGGTACAACTTTCCAATCTCAGAAGAATACAGAAACAAAAACTGCGTCAAAAAGATTATCTTTCCATTTCAAGTCGAAAATTAAGTAAAAAGACAGCTTAAGAACTTATTACCTTTCCTTCAACTTCGGATCATGAATTTTTGGGCATACCCCTGATGCAAAAAAAATGCAACAAAGACTATCAAAAATCAAATAGCAGGTAGAAAGCCATTGAAAATTGCTTAAAAGTAAACTACGTGATTAAAAAGCCTGATTCTTTCATAACCCATTAATAAACCTTCAACAACAGGGATGTCAAATTATGAATATAATCGAAGGAAAGGAATCAAGAGATTACCTAGATCACTCCGAGTGTTGACAAACAAATCATGGGGACAGAATCGAACCATATAGCATCCACAAACATCCTTATCATCCCATTTAATTTCCCGATGCCCTTTTCTTTCTTCTTCAGTCAAATTCCGTGCTGTGGAAATCATATCAACAAACCAGTGTCTTATAAATCATTCACTCGGCAACATCCAAAATCACAGTATACAAATGAAACAGAGAATCATATGATTATAACAAATTTGCATGCACTACTACAATATGCCAATTTAGACATCGTCTGCTGAAATTGTAAATTGTGAGGCAACAACAACAAAAAGATGCGAAATTAACGAGCAATAATCTAACGACAGAAACAGGATTGAAAATCAAAAAAATTATAAAAAAATAACCGCAAACTCGAACGAAAAGAAACCCCCGAATTAAGATTGGGAAATTTAAGGGTTTAAAGGGCGGAATTGATGCAAACCTGAGCCCATGAGTTCATCGAGCAAAGCCCTCTGAGCATCCATCTTTTTGAAATTAGTCGTCTGCTGAAGCTCGAATCAAATAATAATCCGTAATAACAAAAACGTTAACGAGTCACAATTTCGATACAATTGCAATAAAAACCCTAGGATTTTAATTGGGGGCGGATTTTGTAGTGAATACGATAAACCAAACGCTGTGCTGAAGTGGAGTTAGGGTTTTATTGCTTGGTTAAACTATATTCCTTAGCCCAACCACCAAGCGTTAGATATAACAGAGCTCATATATGAAATTGTGTTTTGGACAAGTACAACTTAGATATAATTACTTAATAATAATAATAATTAATATTTTCGTAAGTCAATTAATTATATATATTTTTAATGATTTTACATTAAACTATATCACTTATAAATAACTTTGACATAATTTTGAGGTTATAAGTACATAAGTAACATATTTGTAAAATTGAGTAATGTTGTTTACAATATTTGGATGTAGAATTCAAACATAAGGGTGGAAAATCAGACGAAACGGAGTGGAATTACGCTTTCCAATTTGTCGCAAGTAGAAGTTCAATTCCACTTAAATTCCCAAATAATAGTTTGGAGATCGAAAATTTAGAAGTTAGAATGAAAAAAAAAAAAAAACTTGTTTCATAATAGGAATCCTGCGAATCAGAATCGATACAAAATGCATATGTCAAGATATTAGATGTGTGCGTCAAGTCATTAAATGTGTGTGTTAGGACCCTGAGGTCGGAGTTCGGCTCTTTCGTACGAATACATTCTGGACAACTCGATAGATCGAGAGTCCGGCTCGCTCGACTGAGTGGGCTTCCTCATTGGGCCTGGCGAATTGGGTTTTGCCTTAGAAAACCTTGATGGAGTAAGTATCTTGAGTCCCGATCACATATTTAAATGATCCACTTAATTAATACAAGAAATGATCGACATTAATTAAACAAAGGATAAATTGCAAACACTCCCTGAGGTATGCTCAATTTACGACAAAACCTCTCTTGTTTGGATAATTACATCTACCCCTTCATCTATATTTTTTTCTTACACCTCCATCCTTATGGTGTCAAATTCAACATAATCATCTAGATTGTGTGAAATGTGCTCTAGTTTGTATTCATTTTGTATAAAAATACAGTTTCTAATGCACCACAATCTGATATATACAAGCCAAAAAACACATATTATGATCATCTTGCTTTAAAACGTAGAGTTCGAATAAGATAAAACGGTTACAAAAGTGATAATATTCTATATAATCTCGAAAATTCCACTAAATTTGATGAGTTGAGGGGGTGGTTGTAATTATCCAAACAAGAGGGGGATTTTCGAAATTTGACCATACCTCAGGGGTGGTTGTAATTTACCCATTAAACAAATTATGTGCGTCAAATTATGTGTATAAAGTAAATAAATATAAAAGTATATTCAAAATATAAAATTAGAGAGCAAATGTTTTCAAAACTTAAAAGGTATTTTTAATTAAACATATATAAAATATTAAAGCCGTTAAATAAATTTAAAAAAATAATTTTAACCTCACAAAGAAAATTCAAAAGAGGATGAAACAATTTTGAATAATGAATTTGGAATATGGTTGAAAGTGATAATATTTTAAGTTTATTTAATGATAGATATAGTAAAAATCCATTCTTATGTGTTACTTAATGAATAAACACGCTGATTTGCTCCGAAATAGTCGAGATGATGACGTGTCCTCCTTGAAAGATATTTTGGATGATAGCTTGTCGGAGATTTCGCCGGAGGAGTACCTGCAACGCCGGGAGGGGTTTCCCGGCGTAGAAACTCCGACGATCAAGTCAGTTTTTATTCAGAGATAATCGATTGTAATGTACAAGAGAGAGCATAATCGTGAAAGGTTAAGAGTAACTCCCTATTTATATGTGAGGATACTTGGTGGGTAAGAAATAAGCAAACTTGCCCTAACTCCTCTTCTTGGACCTGATATCACTTTGGGCCAAATACAAGTGAAAACCCGATCCACGGCCCAATAAAGAGTTAGGAAACCCCGTGAGGACAATTTGGTCTGTATCAACTACTCCCCCCCTACTCCGAAGTCTAAAAGTCGTGATTAGACTAGGAATATTATTCACGTGTTGTCTTTTCGCCTTGCTTCGTTTTTTCTCTGATTGTATGACTTGTGTGCTTATCTCACCGTATTGGCTTGAATGTCTGTAGCGATTTACTTGTTCAATTTGATAGGTTATTCTTGCCCGTTTCAACAACTCATTTGTGCGCGATTTAACGTCTCATTCTTTCTCTGACTCACTTGTGCGCGATTTAACGCTTCATTTTTTTTCGAGTAAACAACTCATTTGTGCGCGATTTAGCGCCTCATTATTTCTCGATTAAACGACTCACTTGTGCGCGATTTAACGCTTCATTTTTTTTTCCGATAAACAACTCATTTGTGCGCGATTTAACGCCTCATTCTTTCTCGATTAAACGACTCGTTTGTGCGCGAGTTAACGCCTCATTCTTTCTCGATTAAACGACTCGTTTGTGCGCGATTTAACGCCTCATTTTTTCTCGATTAAATGACTCGTTTGTGCGCGATTTAACGCCTCATTCTTTCTCGATAAATGACTCATTTGTGCACGATTTAACGCCTCATTTTTTCTGGATTAAACGACTCATTTGTGCGCGATTTAACGCCTCATTATTTCTCGATTAAACGACTCATGCGCGATTTAACGCTTCATTTTTTTTTCTCGATTAAACGACTCATTTGTTACTTATCTCGCGCAAAGCGCCTCGGTGTTATTTATTTCGCGCAAAGCACCTCGGTGTTGCTAATTAATCAACCCATTTTAATGACTCGTATTCTTCGAAAATCGAATTTAAACGAACCCAAGAGTTTTTCACCTTTCATAGATTCGTGTTCGAGGTGGAGATGCGAGCTTCATAGGACCAATGCTAGATAACAGAGAACTACAAGTCTCGAAAAATCCCGCTTCGAGGTAAGAAGACGAGCTCAACAGCAAAAAGATCGTTAAGTACTCGCGTTCGTGTACGAGAATAACTTTGGCCTTTTAAGAGCTTTAAGAAATATTTCCCGGAATTTGAAATTCAAGAGGAAAATTCGAGCTTCAAGAAAGGTGATTGAGAGACTTGCCTCGACGGGCATTGGGTCGGCGAAATCTGGCTCGGAGTCAGCTGGCCAAGCTCCAACCAATCAATATGGACTTCAAGAATTCGTTTTCGAGAGAATAATGTGAGCTTGAGAAATTCCCTGCCAAGGAATGAGTTTCGGGTTTTTTGAAACCATCCTCTCGCAACTTATAAATCTGAGTATTGTCGAGCTTTAGAGTGCCCAAGTCGTTCACGAGACATATTTGAACTCACGCAAGATCGAGATCTAAAAAGATTGAGCTTGTAAATGGTGGGTACTCAGAACCCCTCAGTTGATTGAAACGGCTGGCCCAATCGAAAGGGCTCGTAAATAGTTTGCAGCGAGCTCTTAGAGAATTGTGTCCCATATATATATATATATATATATATATATATATATATATATATATATATATATATATAGATCACGTCGATAAATGCGGGCCGAAATTGCTTTGGGCTCCAGAGGAGATGTAACTTTCATTATTCTGGACATAAAGACATATGTCGATATTTAGTTTTCGTTCAATTCATGTACCACTCCCCCAAGTTATATCTTCGAGGGGTGAATGTTTAGTGCACAAGACATTTTCCTTTGGAACACCATATGAAGAAATTTTGATCGACAATTCCATGCTTGTCAACCCTGAGCTAACCAGTGGCACAAGATTCTGGGTACTGAACACCGTCATATATTCACAAGGGTTCGGATAATCGTCTCTTTTTAGTGTATGTTGTTGTGGTTAGGTTGCTTTGTTTTATTTTGATCGCATCGAGCTCATGCATGATCGTTGAGTTCCCAAGGTCCCGCTCCACGATACGGGTTCAAGTTTCTCGAAGTAAATATGACTGACGAGAATTCCAATTACCATAGACAAATCAGAGGCATGAGTTGTGATTGTGAGCTTCAAAATTTTCTCTTTGTCAACTCGTAGAAGTCCGATAGGTCTCATGTTGATTTCAAAAATTTACTAAGTGTCGAGCTCATTCAGGATGATATCTGAGCTGTGCGAGAGGAATGCAAGCTATAATACGAGCCTCCAAAAAATCCCAACAAAGGTGAGCTCAAGGGATCAAGCTTATTGTTTTTAACTCGGAATGACCATATCCTAGCTCGAGTTTGATGCAGAGAATGCGCAACACAACTCCTTATCTTGTAATTATCTCATTATGGTGCATAGTGGCGCTCAGCTAATCCGTCTTCGAAACCATTTACCGATTTCGAAATGGTAAACACAAGGATCCATACTCATCTCGCGAGGTGATTAGAAGAGGTTTCAACCTTCGTAAATTTATGCTCGAGATGGCGAGCGAGCTTCATATGACCAATGCGAGGTATAAGAGAACTACAAGCCTCCGGAATTTGAGATGTAAGAGGCAAATTCGAGCTTCAAGAAGGGTGAACTCTGATAACTTCACATCTCGGAGAATTTTTAACAACCATAAGTTGCTCAAGAAGATTGGCTCTGTAAATGTTGGTTCCTCGACAATACATTTAGTAATACGTTGGTTCCCAAGCAATAAACACGAGCCCTGAGAATTCCTGTTTCAGAAATAAATCCAAGCTTCCGAAAATTTGGGCTGCAAGAGGTTACTTTTGAAAATATTATCACGTTGAGGATAGTCCAGTCGGCCTGGCTCAATAGAGCTATTTAAAATAAATGTGCTCTTCTGGAAACTCGAGGGAAATAATTTGTGAGCTCCAAGACCAGCGAATTTTCGTGAGTTATGGCGAGCTTATATATAGATAGTCCTCCTTACGCTCAAATTGATTGAGACATTAACCAAATCAAAAAGGGGCTTGTGAATGATTTGTACCGAGCTCTTGGAGAGGTTTGCCCGATCATTGAGCTCGCGACTTCGAAATATTCATCTCGTGGTAAAGAAACATTTAAACTCTTCTTATTTTCTATCAATCCCATTGTAGATTTCGCGTTGACAAATATGGGCTGAAGTTGCTCTCGGATCTGGAGGAGATGTAACTTGCATTTTTTCTGGGCATATATTGATACTCTACCACTCATCCGAGTTATATGTTTGTCGGATGACTTTTCAGTGTGCATCGAATTTTTTCTTTGGAGCACCGTGCGAGTCAATTCCAATTGACAATTTTGTGCTCGTTAGCTATGAACTAACAAG